AACATTTCAATCTTATCAAAACCTTTTTTTTCAATTTTCATTTAGAAACAAATTTTTGTCAAAGGCAATGTATTTCCATGACATGTTTTACTTTTGATGAATTAGCACTGTCTGACAGAAAAAATGTTCCACCAGAAAATTTCTGAACAACTCTACTGACAAGCTTTTGAAATAAAAGTCTATATTCTATTGCAAGTATATTTAGAGTTGGTGCAAAGTGCCAGATTGATAGCTTTGAGGATTGAACACTATGGGCAGCAGCAATTCAAGCTTCTCTCATCGTTCATTCCAATGTCAATCCAGACTTAGAGGGACTATCTTCTCTAGGGGCAAGACATCAGTTCAGGTTCCATGACTGACTCAGTCCTTGTCTTCTCTACTGAGTCTGCCAACAAGAGGGCCAAATTCTAAAGGGGTTTTGGTACCATGGCTATCTGTCCATTAGGGACCAACTAAGACCATCAATGAACTTCACGCAAGGGTCACTGAACAGCTGTCAGATTTAGTCAGAGCAACTAGGACTGAACTAGGACCATTAGCCAGAGGCAGAAGAGTCCATAACATTGGTCTACAATTTTTGAGAAGTCGTCTGCTTCAGAGATAAAATGTGCTATTTATTATGTATTTTGATGTGCTAAATTCAAATATGACAATTAAAACAACTGATTGACTACTGTTTCTAAGATATTTAAGTTTTTACATTTTATGTCTATGTATATTGTGTAGATAGTAGAGTTTTAATCATAAATTGTAAACCTAGGTCTTTTCATGTGTCTATGGTTGCTTTACATGATAATATTTCACCTGTCCTGTTTATGTAACACTTTAAAAATCCGCAAAAGGGTTATATAAATAAAATTTATTATGAAACAAAAGGCAAAAAACTATTCTGTACATAGTTTAGTCCTATTCAGTGTCTACTCGGTGCTTCTTGGCTTGTCTCTTGTATTCATTAAATGGAGCATCTCTTGTCACTGTCCAGCAATAGTCTGCAAGCATTGATGGCCTCCGTTTGCCCTGATAGCGTTTCTCCATTGTTGCAATGTCCTGGTGAAATCGCTCGCCGTGCTCGTCGCTCACTGCTCCGCAGTTCGGTGGAAAAAAATCTAGATGAGAGTGCAAAAAATGTATCTTTAGTGACATGTTGCAACCAAGGCTTTTGTATGCCTTGAGGAGGTTTTCCACCAACAACCTGTAGTCTGCCTTGTTGTTTCCGAGAAAATTTTAATGCCACTAACTGGAAGGCTTTCCATGCCGTCTTTTCCTTGCCACGCAGTGCATGGTCAAATGCATCATCTCGAAGAAGTTCAGGAATCTGAGGACCAACAAAGACACCTTCCTTTATCTTAGCTTCACTTAACCTTGGAAATTTTCCACGGAGGTACTTGAAAGCTGCTTGTGTTTTGTCAATGGCCTTGACAAAGTTCTTCGTCAGACCCAGCTTGATGTGTAAGGGTGGTAACAAAATCTTCCTTGATTCAACAAGTGGTGGATGCTGAACACTTTTCCTCCCAGGCTCCAATGACTGTCGGAGTGGCCAATCTTTCTTGATGTAGTGGGAATCTTTTGCACGACTATCCCATTCGCAGAGAAAACAGCAGTACTTTGTGTATCCAGTCTGCAGACCAAGCAAGAGAGCAACAACCTTCAAATCGCCACAAAGCTGCCACTGATGTTGGTCATAATTTATGCACCTCAAAAGTTGTTTCATGTTGTCATAGGTTTCCTTCATATGGACTGCATGACCAACTGGAATTGATGGCAAAACATTGCCATTATGCAGTAAAACAGCTTTAACTCGTCTTCGATGAATCAGTGAACAGTCTCCACTCATCTGGATCATGAACGACGTTGAGGGCTGCCATCACACCATCCATGTTGTTGCAGGCTACAAGATCACCTTCCATGAAGAAGAATGGGACAAGATCCTTTTGACGGTCACGGAACATGGAAACCCTAACATCACCTGCCAGGAGATTCCACTGCTGTAGTCTGGAGCCCAACAGCTCTGCCTTACTCTTGGGTAGTTCCAAATCCCTGACAAGGTCATTCAGTTCACCTTGTGTTATGAGGTGTGGTTCAGAGGAGGAGGATGGGAGAAAATGTGGGTCCTGTGACATTGATGGTTCAGGACCAGAAGTTTCATCCTCTTCCTCGTCTGACTCAAGTGAGAATGATTCTGGTGCATCAGGAACCGGCAGTCCTTCTCCGTGGGGTACTGGGCGTATAGCTGATGGAATGTTTGGATAATGCACAGTCCACTTTTTCTTCTTTGACACACCTTTCCCAACTGGAGGCACCATGCAGAAGTAACAATTGCTGGTATGATCTCTTGGCTCTCTCCAAATCATTGGCACTACAAAAGGCATAGATTTCCTTTTCCTGTTCAACCACTGGCAAAGATTTGTTGCACAAGTGTTGCAGCATATGTGTGGGGCCCACCTCTTGTCCTGATCTCCAATTTTGCCGCCAAAATAAAGGTGATAGGCTTTCTTAACCATAGTGGTTATACTGCGCTTTTGTGATGCAAAAGTCACTTCACCACAAACATAGCAGAAGTTATCTGCACTGTTCACACAAGTACGAGGCATCTCTGCTCACTTTGGCTAAACAGAAATGTGTCCCTTTGCAAAATCAAACACTGACAAATAAGAGAGCACGACACTGTATGATTTCTAGAGCTGATATAGGGCAATTTGTTCAGCAGAGTGATGTAAGCTTCGTTATGATTGCATCATCCATGACTTCTAGGAATAACATGATGCAATTCATATCATGTATGATGCAATACCAGCTTCAGATTGCATCATTCATTGTTTTGCCTAAAAAGCAAGTACTGTCCAAACCCAGTCATAGATTTATTCATAGATCCAGTCAAAGATGTATTTTAGTCATTTCTGGTTTAAATTGAGATCCCTTCCCTTTATAACTCACTTATCCTCCGCCATTCCCAAGTCAAGGGTCGTATATACTGACCCAATAGCATATCTTGAAAACTAGAGCCAATCAACAATTTTAAGCATCATTTTCGTTCTCAGTGACCCAGAATTAGTAAAGTTTGACTACATTTATTTCAGAAGCATTTTGGCTGTAGAGCAGTATAATCTATTCAACCCCTCGGAGTTAGCCAGGTGTCTAAAAGTTTTTTTAAATGCTAAAACAAAATAAGTCACATCTATCCTAGTGCTAGGCTTCACAACAGACATTCAAAAACACCCAATAAAACAATAAAATAAAAACAGGAACAGCAGTATATACAACTCACTACAACAAACAGCTATTCATCAGAAAACATAGCAAAACATCTCCACCCAGAACCCACCTCAGCTCTCTCCAAATATCCTTTCAAGTAGATGGGCTTTGCAGTGTTCCTGATAGTCAGCTGATTTGGACTATTTTATACCACGTGCGGGATGGGAAAGTGTTATTTCCAAAGTGGAGGATCCAACTTGGAAAAAACACACTGCTAGCAGCCCATCTCTTATTAACTGAGGGAGATCTAGCTTGAGTGTCTCAGCTCAGGTATTTCATGGGGAGAGGTAGTCTCTCATGTAGGTAGAGTCCAGGTTATTTAGGACACTGTAACTCAAAACCAGCCCCTTAAAACACTAGCTGGAAAGCCACAGGCAGCTAGTACAGACCATGAAGTACAATGTCATATGTTCCTGGAAAGATGTCCTTTTTAGCAAAAGGGCTGCCGCATTCTACACTAGCTTGAATTTCAGAATGGAGTTAGGATTTGAATGGAATATGTTTTATCAAAACCCCATTAACCTGCCACGTGTTCTGTCTAGACTTCCAGTGCTATCATACTGCTTGCCCAGGCATTTCAACAGAAACAGACACACCTTCTGCTGTGCTCATCGGTCTGATACTGTTTCCTGATTCCCATATGATGCTGTTACACAGGGTCATCTACACCCAAAGCTCTTGGTAACTTTACTCTTTAAGAGGCATTGTCAGGAAATAAATCAATGGTAGTACAGCACATCCATCTGATAGATGGTTGGCAGAAGCAGTACAACACAAGAATGCTTTCACTTAAAGTCTTTACTTTATTTAGTCTCAAGCACATGCAAATGCAACAGGTTAGAGAGCACCCCAAATTAATAGTTACCCCAAAGGTCTGGAGTAGTCTTGAGTAGTCAACAGCTTTTTAATGGCCAGTCTTCCATCTGCCGCTGGGGACCTTAAGATGGATTCACACCAGAGTTCACTTGACCCAACCCTCTTTCCCCTTTTTACGCTCAAAGTATCACATAGCTTGTCAATCACCAATAGTCACTGAGCAAGCAATTTGTTAAGCAAGACGTTTCAAGCCATTAGTTATACAGATGTGTTTTTGCAGAGTCTGCAGTCTCATGGGCCCCGACAAAAACACACCAGAAATCAAATATAAACAAACTTCCTGTCTTTCAAAACTGCATGCTTCACAGTTTAAAAGAAAGCCCAACAGGATGGTGCAGAGTCATGCACAATTCTCATGGCCTAGTTATGCTAAGACTGCTACAAAGGCCTTACAGCTGCTCTTGGCAATAAGCATAATTGATAGTCCAGTTACTGGCAGTGGCCTAGGCACTTTGCTGGGCTGTTAAAATCTCCCCTTACAATGCCATAGTCCAGCATTTGACAAGTCAATGGAGGAATGAGGCAGCTGACTTTAAGGGAGTAAAAAATTAAGAAATAAGATTTGGGAAAGACCTACTTCCCCATCAATCTTCTCCACTGACAGCTGGGGCAGATTTCTTCCTTAGAATGTATTTTTTAGTACTTTGTCCAGTCTAACCATTTGACCAACAGGGCTTCAAGCACTTCCCTATGCAATTTAACTATAATCTAGGAGAGCTTTATTCCCTAATCCCACAGCAGCAAAAGGGAAGGAAATCCACTTTCATGAGATTCTCTCTTCCCAGAACGGTCTGTCCCAGTCCTTGGCTCTGACTTAGGAGAATGTGCCCGTCTTTTCTATTGTCACCAGGGAAACCTTACTGCCCACATACCTGCTGTGTAAGGAGGCTGATGTGGCTGGGTGGGGAATATTGCCTGGTTGCTTGCTTTTCCGCCAGCCGCTGCAGCTCTGCTGCTACAATACTGTGGTTGTAGCGTCTGCTCTGGGAAGAACTGTTTTCTGCATCCTTGTGCACCCTGGCTGAGCCCACACGCTGCCCACTTGGACTGCGATGGCACGAACCTGCCAAACACACAGTTTTCATCCACTTAGAAAAGTAAAGCAATGTTTCGGGCTGCAGAGAACTCCTCATGCCCTCTGAGGAGGGAGCTAAGACACTGAATTAAATAGGAGAGACTTGTACATTTGCAACAATAGAAATAAAAGCCGGCAGGAAACTTCTGCAACAGGCTCCACTGTCCACATCTGAGCTTCTCCATACCAACACTGAACCCTCATTCACCTCAGGATAGAACAGCTAATGGCACCCAGTTCCAATGGGCATTGGCTGTTTGTTCTCATGTATTAATTATCTGTATTAGAGCAGGGACTGGAATTGAAGCATCCGAGGTGTGGGGATTTGAAAGACAGAAGATATTTTTGCACTCATCCTAGAAAGTGAGGGGATGTTAGGAAGCCAAGTGTGTAGAAGGAAGTTGCCTCTGAAGAAACATACCTCTTTCTTATGTTAGTTGGACCTAAAACAATTTAAAGCATGGACACTTGGCTCCCTATTCAAAGAGGATCAGTAACAGGTTGAACACAGACAACACAACCTTCTTATGAAGAAAAAAATCAATATAGAAAAATAATTAGAAGACATTCATAGATTGAAATCTGCTTGGAGGGTCATAAACAGAAGGTTATGATAGACAGCAAAGCAATGAGGCGGAGAGGTGTCTTGGCAGGTCGATAGTGTTAGATCTGGATTTAATATTTTCATTAATGATTGGGAAGATGGGAATATTGATGAGATTCATAGGTGAATTAGGAGAAGCTGTAAACACCAATGAGGACAAAGAAATAAAATGAAGGGGCCTAGAGAGATCAGAAACATGGGAAGGAAGTAACAAAATGAGATTCTATTTGAAAAAGATGCAGGTAATACATCTGGGAAGATAACACAGAAGCCAGATACTCTATGGAAGGAAGAAAAACTTATAAAGCAGGAACAGATGAGAGAGAGTGAGCAGCAAATTAAAAAGGAGTCTGTAATGTGATACGGTTGTAAAAAAAGTCAGTACAGTTTGCGACTGCACAAACAGTGGCATCACGTCACAGATCAGAGAATTATGGTCTTTCCCTTCTTTAATATGATCTGACCTGGAACACTACACCATTTCTAGAAAGCTGCTGACAAATTGGTGGGAATTTAGAGAATAGCTACAAAAATTATCAGGGAGCTTGAGAGACTGGGTTATGAGGAAAGATAACAGAAGCGGGACATGGTAACAGTCTTCAAGTACTTAATGTCTATGAATACCAGGAGAGGAGAGGAATTATTTAGAGAAAGGTAAAACTAAGTAAAACTAAGAGCAATGGGATGAAGTTAAAAGGGTAAATTTTTGGCTGAATTATCGGGAAACCTTTCCTGGAAGTGTCTCTCTCAAATCACCTCATGGTAAATGGGAGAAGAAGCCCCAGCACTAGGAACTTTTAAAACTAGACCAGACAAAACAGTGGAAAATGCATAGTAGGAAATAATCTGCATTGACTCCTTGGAAGGCACCTAATGGGACTTTATCAGCTCTGGTTTCTAAGCTTCTCTGAATTCCAGAAAGTAGATCATTCAGACAATTTTATTTAGTTTCAGGATTCCAGAGGTAGTAGGCATACTCCCTGATCCTCTCTACGAGACACCTCTAGCAGGCACTATACCCAGGATGGCCTCACCAAAAGAGCATGGAATCTGCCTATGGGATGAAAGGCATGTCTGGTATTTTTCATACAAAAGCTACAATGACTTTGCTTAAAAGCAAATGGATCCCTTTAAATAAGCTACTGAGCAGGTGCATCAGGTTTATTTTAATGCCAGAAAGCTCACCACATTGTATAAAGCAGTCTCAGTGAACATGTGACAGAGTTTGTTGTCCACTTCAAACCCAGCTCTGCAGGGTTATTGCAGAGGGAAACCCACTCACAGTTAAAGCCTGTATACATGGGCATACATGTAATTTGTAAGATGTTTTGAGGTATGCCAAGATGAAAGGGCCTAGGGAAATATGAAGTTATGTTATTAACATTCCCTTAAACACTGCCCCATTCAGATTTTACGTGGAGGCCTTGACCATTCTCTGAACCTGAGATTAACTGCCACTTCTACTGGATGAGTCTCCTGCAGATCAGATAGGAATCCCCAGCAACAAGAACCCTGCATAGCCCCATAGAGGACTTTTATACTACTGAAACTGCCCTGAAACAGTTAATAACAGATCATCATATATCAATGCTGTGTCAGTTGTGCAGTTGAACACAACTACCCCTTCTCACATACATCATTTCCCACCTCTGCCATTCAGGCGAGACCCTTTCATTCCACGCTGAATGAACCAGTTCAATTCCCCATTTATCAGCACAGAAAACAGGAATTATTAGTAGGGAGAGGCTGTTTTATCCCAAAAAGGAATTTAGTGCTGATGAAAGGAGCTAGATTCACAACCCTGAAAATTAAACATTTCTGGCTATCACAGAGCAGGTAAAGGCTATGTACACTTTGCCCTGACCAAGCAGCCTTAGGGGTTATTACGCTGCCTCTACTCTACTCTTCATGGCAACTGGATTAGCAAATTTGAGATTGATCACTACAGCCATAGGGACAGAAGCTCAGCTTGGACAGTATGAAGAATTCTCCAATTCTAGGAGGAACCTTGACTGACAAAAGATGGGATTTACCCAATGACATGTTCACACATCCTGACTGCCCAGCACACTCACCTGCTTTAGCAGAGGATGGTCGGGACAGTCTTTGGCTGTAGATCTGAGTAGCACTTTGAAATGACGAGAAGGGCCCAATGGTGTAGCTGCCAGACCGACAACGATGCAACCCTGCATGGTTAGACGTCTGGTGGGACACTGGGTTTGTGGAGACAGACCAGTTGTCAGGGATTGTACTCTGGCTCTGGAAAGAAGGTGGGGAGGGTGGGGACTGAATCAGTTTGGGACCAGCTACAGAAGCCAGGGAGGAGTGGTGACCAGGCACCTGTGTGTTTTTAGAGGCTGTGGCATGAGATGACAACTGGGAACTGATGCTTCTCTGGAGCGTGGCACCAGGAACAGAGGAGGAAGCATGAGGGTGGCTGCACCGGAGTAATTTTGACTCATCTTCTGTGGAAGACAGGGGCCCTGTTAAAACAATACAAACAAGCCAATCAGAATGTTTCATAAGTTAAGCAGCTTTCCAGAACCCCAAAGACAACAGCAATGTGGCCAAGGGGCCTGTACTTATTGGCCTGATGAAGTCAAGAAAAAACTCAACCACCAGCAAGGGCTGGCAAGAACCAAGCTCTGATTCAGACATATCCTTTCCCCAGGCTCAAAATATCTTGCAGAGCCCTTTTACCACAAAAGACAGTTTATTTCTTCACCCAGTAATCTTCCCCCAGAGTTGGGACTGGGATTCTCTCAGCTTGTTCTGCATCTAGATTCTGACCACTGTAGTTTCTCAAGATAGTTCTAAATCTACTAAGCAAGTGTGGCTTCTACCTCAGTCATTTGCTGGAAAGCTAACTCTGCCCTGATTTGGGTGGGTTCACTTACGGGATGGCCTGGCTTCTTTGGGCTTGTAGTCTCTGAGCTCTCCTTCTCCACTTGAGTCTGCCACTGAATATTGGGACTGATTCCTTTTCACTTGTTCCACCATCTCAGGAAGATCTTAAATGAGTTTTGAAAGTTAGGAAGCAGAACAGTTTAAGCTACTTGTACCATGAGAAATGGACTGCAGGGTTTGAATATTGCAGAGACGCTGGATTCTTCCCAATATTTATTATGGCCTACCCCCCTCCCCTTTCCTATCTCACTGTCTGTTGGCTTGATTCATAGCATTAGCTAATGCAGACCCCAAGCTAGAAACCTACCCTTTCCTTATGCTGGGATCACTAATCACTCAGCTATCAGACCCACTCTCTCTGGGCTCTGCACCTTTACCCTGTGCAAGGACACCCTATCACGACGGTGTCACGCTCATCACCCCCAGACTCCCCATATCTTTATTGGGCTTTCTACTTAGACCTAGATAATGCCCCTTTGGGATTCTGCATTCTTCCCAACTCTATACTGGGTCACCATAGCCAACCCTTGTTTCTTATAAGCTCTCTGTCTCAGTACTGCACAATACACTTACCTCCTTGGGCCCTGCTTTCTGACTGGTTGATGCTGCTGCTAGGCTTTGTGGTCCTGGGGTTTGTTCCCAGAAAGACACTTGCTGACTTATTCTTGTGTGTGTAAAATGTCAGCACCTCCTCCAGGTCACTCTCACTGAGACAGAGAGGAAAAGAAAGGGCCTAAGTGAGGATTCCAGGAGCTTCTGCCATTGCATGACAGTCACAATGGAAACAGATCATGAGGCTGAAGAAGAACAAGCCAGAGAAATTATTGGTCTCCTCAGCCTTCCAGGGAAGGAATGCCTGGAACTGGAACATGCTCTGGTCTGTATTGTGAAGGAGAACAGCTCAGAAGAACTCCCAGGTGCCACTCCCAGGATGTGGGAGGGAAAATTCAGGAACTTCAGGAACCTCCCAAGGCTAAACAGAGAGCCAATGCAAACCTTATATACTATTTTGGGGAGTTCTGTTTGATAGGAGGGATTCAGCTCTGAGCAGCGGTCATCAGCAAGACTCCACAAGTGCTCACTCAGGTGCTCATCAAACCTAGGGCCATCAACACTGTAACAGAATTCAGCATGGCCTCTGTTTTATATTCATCATTAATGGCTTCATCCCAAGAGTAAGGGGAGGGCCTAGTAATTAACCAATGCCACAGAGTCAGTAAGGGGAGCAGTCAACATTTTTGTGGGTCCCACAAAAATATTTCACATTTCTTTTTATCATTTTCTTGGTTTCAGAATTATATAGTAAAATCCCACCCCAATGTCCTAGGCCTCTGTCACATCTGGCACAAGTGCCAGTCACTCAGCTTTCAATTCATAGCAATTTTGAGTTGTATTTCTAGTATCATGAATAGCTGTTTTCCTTTCCTTTCCTGCTCTTTGATGCTGCTTTAGCATCATCTCGTGATCATGTAGTATGGCGGAGGCCAAATGCAACCCTGTATTCAAACCTGACACACTATTGTAATAATTTTTGTACAAAATATACCTTGTGAGGTATCATTTGAAAACTAGCAACTGGCTGGTGAATAAGATCATGGTGAAACGTGTGTAGGAACACTATATGTACAGTTATGAACACAAGCTGAAATTATGACTGCAATGTGTTTACCAGACACGTCTGGGGAGGGGGTAAACCTGTTCCTAAAAGACAAAGGACAAGCTAATGCATCTATCCAGGTGTCAAAGTTGATTGGCAATCACCTGTCAAGTGGCCATTCTTTGGCAACCAAGTGGGGCAGGAACAGATCGATCTGCATTTTAGCAAGCGACAACATGGAAACTCTTTCACCAGGAGATTCCATATCTCTGTCCTCACAGCAGGAAGGAACTTTATCTAGGTATAACCCTCAAAAAAATGCATTTCAAAGGGTGACTGGACTGTAAAAGGGAGGGGCAAAACCACCCCAGGATCGCTCTTTCTTTCTCTCCCTTTCTTTCACCTAAGAAGACAAGAGAACCAGGCCTTTAACTTTGGGGGATGATCCTCTTTTGGAATTTTGGTCAGAAATGTTGCTGGGAGCATATGGCAAGGATTTTACCCTGAACCAAATCCAGATTGTTAAGTTTTAGCTACTAGAAAGCATTTTATCTTTATTTCTCTTGTAACCATTTCTGACTTTAATACTTTGTACTTGTACTCCCTTAAAAATCTCTCTCTTTGTAGTTAAATAAACTTGTTTTATTTTTTAATCAAAACTAATCTAGTATGTGTATAAACTGAACTGTTTGGGTAACTCCACTTAAAGTAGCAAACTGTTGCACATTGACCCCTTACAGGGGCAACAGACCTCTAACATCTGAGCTGCCCAGGAGAGGGCTGGACAATGCAGAACACATGTTTTGGGGGAAATTTAGGACTGTGAATGTGTTGGGGTCACACTGCAGGTAGTAATCAAGGCTGCCTGGAAGCCAGAGTGTGACTGGTGGGTTGCTGACAGGCTGCTGGGGTCAGAGTTGTTGGATCAGGGCTGTATATACAGTCACTCAGGATATGACCTGCATGCTGTTTGGCTCTTTGTGAGCAGTCCAGGTTGGGACATACAACAGCAAAGCACTGTGCGGCACCAAAGATTGCACAGCAGACAGTGACAAACCCTCACTGGTCTGGATTGTACCCCGGAATGTGACAATTGCACACAGGGTAAGCAAGCCAGCAGAGGGTTACTGCCAGCAACAGTCACAACACATGACAGTCCAGCAAGGTAAAGTAAATTAATTGCCAGCAGTCACAATTCTGCAAGATACTCTTTGCATATTCACACTTATGGGATGTGCCTCTGATGCCCCGGAGCTTTGGCGAAAGCAGCACCTATTCAGACAAGTCTTTCAACCTTCAGGGCACACTGCAAAGCTCATTTTTCTCTCTCAGGCATTTAAAGAGAGGTGAGGGTGAAGAACTGTTGAATAGAAGGGTTATTTAAGCTTTTGGGTTGCCTGATTTGTTGGTAGTGGGTTACAGTGAGTTGTACTGAACAATTATGGTTGGATATTAATTTTGTTGTATTTTTGAGTTGTATCAAGGGTGTCAAAAGCCTATGACTAGGCACTCTCTGAGCATGCATATACATTTAAATAAAACAAATACATACATAAATAAAGGACCATATCATGGCACCAAGTTTATGAAGGGGCAATTGGATAAACTCTAGTTATCAAGCAGTAACTCTTAGATTCCATCTTCTCCAGGGTCTCTCAGATTATGTTGCAGAACAAGCACTCATTATCAAAAGGGATGGCTTGAGCTGCTGGAAACAGACCAGATGATTTAAACCAGAAGTACCCATGCACAGTAATGTCCGACACCATAGTTTTCAGATGTACCTGATGCATCATATGAAGCAGAGAGAACATGTTTAAAAACTGTTCAACCCTCAGCAGCAATGTCTTTTGCCACTGTGACAAAGTTCCTCCTCTATCTTGGTGGGTCCTGCGCTTATTGGGGGATTTTCTTGCCGCAGAGATTCACCATGTGGGTTGGGGAACAGCCCAGAGACCTTCCCCTCTGGAAGAACCCACAGTCCAGGTCAATTGGGAGGTTTGGGGGGAACCTGGGCCCGCCCTCTACTCCGGGTTCCAGCCCAGGGCCCTGTGGACTGCAGCTGTCTATAGTGCCTCCTGTAACAGCTGCATGACAGCTACAACTCCCTGGGCTACTTCCCCATGGCCTCCTCCAAACACCTTCCTTATTCTCACCACAGGACCTTCCTCCTGGTGTCTGATAACGCTTGTGCTCCTCAGTCCTCCAGCAGCACACCCTCACCCTCTCACTCCCAGCTCCTTGCGCCTCTTGCTCCCAGCTCCTCACACTCGCACCACAGACTGAAGTGAGCTCCTTTTTAAAACCCAGGTGCCCTGATTAGCCTGCCTTAATTGATTCTAGCAGCTTCTTCTTAATTGGCTCCAGGTGTCCTAATTAGCCTGCCTGCCTTAACTGGTTCTAGCAGGTTCCTGATTATTCTAGTGCAGCCCCTGCTCTGGTCACTCAGGGAACAGAAAACTACTCATCCAGTGACCAGTATATTTGCCCTCTACCAGACTCCTGTACCCCACTGGTCTGGGTCTGTCACACCACCTTCTTTTGTACCTCAGGCAGATGGTCCCAGCAAAAGAAGTGTCCAATTCCAAGCTGGAGATAATATCTGGCCACAATGGCCTGGTAACTGCAACATGGACTCCCAATATTCCTAAAGAGTAAACATTTCTGCCCAATACATCAATCTTCTTAGTATCTCTGTCCAATGGAGTAGGCTGCAGACTGACCAACTCCAGAGTCAGTCTTTTTACTGCCCACAGAGACCATCAGAGAACCAAAAGTCTGGTATGAAGAAATGAGAATCCCTGCTGTGGGACCAGGAACAAGCAATCTGCCTTCTTGGTAACAGCAAAATAGATGCTAAGGTCAGCCAGATATTCTGAGCCACTTCTCTTCCTCTGCACTATGGTGATGAATATTTCCTTGGACCACAGTAATCTCCTACTCTAAAGAGTCTAACATCCAAATCAGCAACTCTTGAAACAAATTATCGTCGTCAGAAAGTAAAACAGATACAGTCATCATGATATCGTCAGGAGATGGAGAAGACACTGAAGCTTCCGGATCAGTAGCAGAGGTCTAGCTGACATCACCCCTGCTTTCTCCTCATCCAAATCCAGTAAATCACTGTCAATGTTGATCAGACATGAAGGAGAGAAAAGTTCCACAACTGGTTGTAACAAAGGAGGTGAAGATTGCGCCTTAGCTCTCTTAGATGAGTGTGTTAAGAGTCAATTGAAAAGTGTACTCCTCTGTAGCCCCTGGCCCCCATGAAGTTGCGAGAAGTCTGTCAATATGGTCACATCATCCATAGGTTAAATAAGGAACAAAGAAAAACCAGTATAAGATTTTCCCAGAGGATCTGAGAGGCCTTGGAGAAGAAATTCCTCATCATTGGCTGTCTTCAAGAAGAATTGAATATAATCACACGGATGTAATATTGCATAATATTGTTTTTCAAACCACCCCAACTAACACTGAGGATTTACCTTGTATGCAATACACATTTCCTACCAGATTCTAGGAAGTTTAAGGCAGGTCAAATCTGGGACCTACAAAACCGCAGAATGCTGGTCCTTTAACATTAATGAACCGCTCACAGTTAATTGTTTTAGCAGAAAGGGAAAGAAGCCATGGTCATGGCAAGGAATGTTCTTCACCTCCCTCCATGCCTTAGGAGGCATAGTCCTAGATGGTACCAGGAATTCAGGGAAGATGGCAAGGATGTGCTTGTGAAGACAGGAATTTGAGAAGCAGAGCCATGACAGAAGCTTAACCACAGAAGATCAGGGCAATCTCAGCAGCAGCCCTGGCCTTGTTTTCCTTCTAAGGTGTGACTGCATTTGCTCCAATATGATAGAGAGTGGATATTACAGACTATGAGCATTTACGGGGCCTGGATGGGAGCCCATATTGTCCTTTGGGTCTAATGGCAAAAACATCCATCATACACCCTATGCAGCAGATACTGACAACACTGCAGCAGTTTGGGGAGGTAGGATGGGGCAGTATAAGAGCAGAAGGGATGCAATGTGCTACTTTATTACAAGGCGTAAAAGGCCATTCCTACCTTGCCTTAGTAACAAAGTCCTGAAAACCTTCAGCATTCACACCCTCCTCTTCCTCTTCTTCCTGTTTCCTTTTTGATCTTGTCTGAACCATCTGCTCAGTTTCCTGCAAATAAGTATATTAGTTACCTATCACTCTGCCTCTCTATGCAGCTTCAAGTGCTAGGACACAGGTATTGCCCAAGGGGAAGAGATTCCAGAGCAATTTCATGGTATCTAGAACAAAGGGGATTGCCTGATTCCATAACAGCCAAATTGATAGTGCATTTCACTCTGTATATGTGCTTGCCTTCCAGCAGTACTGGTTTGGACAAGCTGCAGAACCTGTAATTGCAGAGGGCCCACAGAGACACATGTTAATCTCTTCACTCTACACACATTATTAAAAGTGATATGCTGAACAGCCCCGTCTAGCTTGATCAAGTGAGTCCTTTTCCTAAGGATGCCACCTCCTTATTAAGACATGGGGGTGGAGGGTGTCCTCCTTTGCTAACTCTGGGTCCCCTCCATTTCTGCTGCTCCTGCCCCTAGTGGAGGGTTCCTCCTAGCAGCTTTTGTTCCAACCTACTTATGCCCAACTGAAGCATGGCAGGGGGAGAGCAAGAACAAAATTATATTGGAGGGGCTTAATCAAGTGGGTCTACAGGAGACTCCGAGAACTCACCTCTAGATTTGTCTCTTGGCTTGTGTCAGTGAGAAAGAGGGGTTTATATATTGGGACCAAACATGAAAAAATATGTAGCCAAAACAGACTTACAATAGGTTAAAATGAGAGGTTACTCACCTTGCTGTAGTAACTGGAGTTCTTTGAGATGCGTGTTGCTGTGGGTGCTCCACTTTAGGTGCACATGCACCCCTGTACCTTTGATCAAAGATTTTTGGTAGCAGTGCCCATTTGGGTCGCTCATGTGCCCTACACATCCTTGTGCCATGTATCGAGGCTCATAGGGCTGTGCAGACAAACCTCCCTCCGTTCTTTCTCTACTGCAAAGCCCACAGAGGCAGCTTCAAAGCAGAGGGGAGGAGGGCAGGTAGTGGAGCACACACAGGGACACACATCTCAGAGAACTCCAGTTACTGTACAAGGTGAATAACTTCTCCTTCTTCTTCGAGTAGTGTCCCTGTGGGTGCTCCACTTTAGGGACTCCCTTGCAGTAACCCTTTAAGGACATGGGAGTTCATCACAGAAGAAAAAACTGTGGTGCCTACTGTAGCATCTGATCTTGCAGCATGAACTAAGGCACAGTGGTTGGCAAATGGGTGCACCGAGGACCATGTTGCAACCCTGCAGAATGTTTGAGTAGGGCTACAGTTGTAGACTTGTAATCTAATAGAGCGCATGGCCACTCTTAGGGGAGGTGTAATCTCAGTGAAACCGTAACAGGCAATAAAGCATCCAGAGATCCATTTAGAAAGCCTCTGACTGAAGATAGTTCTAGGGGAGCACCTAAATGCAATAGAAATGAAGAGTCTAGGGGTCCTCCTGAATGGCCTAGTTTTGTCCAACTAAAAGACTAATGCCCTCTTAATATCTGTGTATGAAAGGAAGACTCCTGTGTAGACTGATGTGACTTTCGGAAAAAAAAATATGAAAGGTGAATAATTTGGTAGATGTGAAATTCTGAAGACACCTTAAGCAAAAACTTTGGGTGGGGTTGTAAAGATACCTTCTCCTTGGAGAACAAAGTAAAAGGAGGGTCTGCCATTAGAGCCCCCATTTCCCCAAACATTCAAGCAGAAGTGATGGCCACCAAAAAGGCTGTCTTCATAGACAAATGTAGCAGTGAGCACATAGCCAATGGCTCAAAGGGCTGTTTCATGAGATGGTTAAGAACCAGACTGAGATCCCAGAGCAGTGTAGGTGCTCTAATCTGTGGAAAAATATTTAGGAATCTCACTGTGGTAAGATGAATGAATACCAAGAAACCTTCTACTAGCACATGTAAAGCTGTTATTGCTGCTTAATGTATCTTGATGGAACTCCTAGAAAGGCCTGAATTTTTCAGTTCCAACAAGTAATCCAAGACTGAGGAAAGAGATGACTGGATAGGAGAAAAATCCAAAAGTTACACCAAAGATTACATAGTCTCCATTTCTGAAGGTAAGTATGTCTCGTAGATTCCGTTCTCCTATTTAAAAGTGTATTTTGTACTTCCGATGAAAAAGGCAGCCCCTAGTCCCAAGAACCATTGAGGAACTAAACTTGCAGTTGCAGAACATTCACATTGGGGTGAAGTGTCTGACCAACATCCTGAGACAACGGTTAAGGTTTGATGGGGAACCACCATAGAGGACAGGAAGTGAGTTTGATGAGGTAAGGAAACCAAACTTGTCTTGGCCAAGTTGGTGCAATCAAAATGACTTTGGCTTGGTCCTGTCTGATCTTGATACGGATCTTTAAGAGCAACGGAGTTGGAGGCTATGCATAAAAAAAGACCATTTGTCCATGTAATGAGGAAAATATCACTTAGAGATTGAGAACTGAGTGCCCCTCTGAAACAGAATTTCCTGCTTTGTGTTGGCTGCCATGGCAAAGGGGTTGACTTCTAGAAATCTCCAAGCTAGGAAAATTTTGTGGAGGACTCAAGATTCCAATTCCCATTAGTAATTTAGGGAGAAATATCTGCTGAGGGTGTCGATGATGGTGTTTTGTTTAACTGGGAGATAAGAAGCCGATATGACTATCTGATTGGCTATGCAGCAGTTTCAGAGCTTTATTGCTTCAGTGCAGAGTGAGTGGGGAATGTGCTCAACCCTGATGATTAATATAATACATGCACGCTATGTTGTCTGTCAAGATCTTGATGGACTTGTTTTTGAGTAGGGGGGAAAAAATGGAGGGAAGCATTTCTGAACTTTTTTAACCCCAACAGATTGACATGCAAGCACTATTCCTGTTGTGACTATTTGCCTTGGACTGCAGGAACACTGTGATTGTTGGGTAATAAATTGTCCTGAGCCACCCCTGCCGACATCAAAGATACAACCTGGCATTTTGCGTCACAAAAACACAAGCTGCCATGTATCAGGGGGTAGCCATGTTAGTCTGTATCTACAAAAACAACAAGGAGACTGGTGGCACCTTAAAGACTAACAGATTTATTTGGGCATAAGCTTTCGTGGGATGCATCCGAAGAAGTGAGGTTTTTACCCACGAAAGCTTATGCCCAAATAAATCTGTTAGTCTTTAAGGTGCCACCAGACTACAAGCTGCCATGTGTCCCAGCAGTTGCAGACATGTTCTTGTTGGAACTTGAGGGCTGAGCTGCACTCTTTGGATAAGGTCCTTCAGAGAAATGGATCTGTTGAGAGGGAAATAAGCTCTACCTGTTATCGAATCCAGAAATACTCCAATAAAGAGAATTCATTGCGGAGGGGTCAAGATTGATTTCTCAATCAATATCTGCAGGCCTAGACTTTGGAATAGTAAAATTATTGTTTGAACTGCTGACCAAACCTCCGGATAAGACCATCCCTTGAGGAGCCAGTCCTCCTAAACAATGGAAGTAGGCAGCTACCATAATTTGTGAGAACATCCTTAGGGTTGATGACAGGCCAAAGAGTAGGACCTGGTACTTGTAATGATTGTGGTTGAATGTGAAACGAAGAAATCTTTTGTGAGAGGAATAAATCGCTATGTGAAAGTAGGCATCTTTGAGATTGAGGGTCACAAACCAGTGCCCTAATTCTAGGGAGGGAATAATAGCTGCTAGGGACACAATCCTGAATTTCAGATGTCTGACATGCTTGTTCAGTTGTCTGAGATCTAGTATCTGCCTCCAACCCCTGTTTTTCGTGGGTATCAGAAAATATCTTGAATAGAACTCTTTTCCCTGTGTTGAAGTGGGGCTGGTTCTATGGTTCCTAGACTTGGGAGTCTCCTGTGCCAGCAACTGATTGCGAGAAGGTCCCTGAAGAGGGACAGAGAAGGGGGTTGGAAGGACAGGATGGGAGTAAACTGGATCGCATAACCCGAAATAATGGACTCTAATACCCATTTGTCCAATGTTATAGCCCCCCATGCTTGATGAAATAAAGAGATGGTGTCCAAATTGAGAAAGAAGGGGGTTGTCGTGTAGCTGAGAGAACCTCGTCACTGGGTAGTCTGGACTCAGGACCAAACCATCAAAACTGGCATTTGTATGATACAGTATTTAAGACTGGGATGAGGTAGTTGCAGGCTTTTTCTTTGAAAACCTCAACCTCTTAGCTGTTGGTCCTGGAAAATTGAGCAGGGTTGGATCTTTGTGTCGACTGAGACCTGCTAAACTGTCTTTTATTTGCAGATGTGTATATCCTCAAAGACCTACGTGTGGCTCTAAAGTCCTTCAGGGTATGAAGGAGTCATCTGTGGAATCTGAAAAACTTCTGGCCATCGAAAGGTTAATCTTCCATGGTCGACTGTAGCTCCTACAGAAACCCAGACAAATGAAACCAGGATGCTCACCTCATTACTACTGCAGTGGAAACAGACTTACCTGCAGTGTCTGCAGCACTGAGCGAAAGCTGCAGGGAGGATATTGCTAAGAGCTGACCCTCCTTTATTATGGTATTGAAATGTTCTCAATGTTCCTATGGTAAACGATCAATAAAAGCATTAAACTTCTTGTAGTCTAGGCAGTCATATTTTAACATCAGCACCTGGTGGTTAGCTATCCTGAACTGAAGTGTTGCAGACGAGTAACTCTCATGACCAAAGAGGTCTTGATATTGCTGGTCCTTATTATAAGGGGTGCCTTGTTGGGTCTGTTGTCTGCCCCTTTCATTGACTGCATCCACAACTAAAGAATTTGGTGTTCAATGAGCAAATTAAAACTCAATTCCAGGACATAATTTTTATTTTTTTAACCAGCCCTCTTACATTTGGGGCGGGGGGAGAGGGGAGATGGAGAGGGAGGGGCATTGCTGGAGTTTGCCAGATGTACCTGGCTGGCTCAAGGAGGGTTTCGTTAATTGGCAGTGCCACCTGTGCTGAGGTAGAGGTGTGCAATATGTCCAGGAGCTTGTGATGGGAATCCTGGACTTCTTCCCGGGAATTCGCAGGGTGTCAGCAGCCAGAGGTGCTGGAACAATTTTTATAGTGGGGATGCTGAGAGCCACTGAACCAAACTGTAAACCCTGTATATGATGGAAACCACTTCAAGCCAGGAGGTGCAGCAGCACCCCTAGTTCCAGCACCTATGTCAGCAACCCACTTCATCATGTCCTGGAATTGCCTAAAGTCATCAGCTAATGATGGTGGTGGTGGCCTTACTGCCTTATCAGGTGACAATGATGAGATGTTTGTAATGGGAGCAACCTCTTTGTTCACCTTTGCCTCCTGCTCCTCAAAGGTCTCCTCGGGCTCAGAATGGGGAGGAAGGATGGACAGTACTGGTGAACAAGGTCTTCTGTGTGCCCTGAGAGACTGAGCTGAGGTCCCTTGACACTGCTGGCAGGACATTGTCCATGAATCCCAGCAAGGCTAATGAGGGAGACCAGAAGGCATGGTGGGAGGTATCCAACACTGGTCATCCCGAGCATTTGTAGGCAGGGGTCTGGTGCCCTGCCTTTGTTGCATCTGCAATGTGGAATAACATCTGGAATAAATTGGAGAGCTTTGAACAGAAAGTTCAGAGTCTGAGTCAGAATGCTCATCCACATATTGTATTAGAGGTGGCAACTCCTCCTCATGGATAGTGGAAGATGGAAAAGAGGTAGGTCTCATGGAAACATGAGCAGTTGGTGACCCAGCTGACCCCAGTACTGAAAAATGTCCAGAGGTCGCAAAGAGCAGAGACTCAGGCTCATTAGCAGGGACTCTAGTTTTCAGTGATAAAAAAACAAAATTCTCCAATAAAACAAAACATGAAAATCCACGTGTTTCCATGATTAAAATGAGATGCTGAACTTTAGTTTCCCTAACCACAATAGACAGTAGAACCCCATTTATCCGAACCTCCATTATCCAGCTCTCCATATTAAACGAACCACCAGCCGCCTGGGGCTAATCACTTGAGCCACGATCTTAAAATAAGAGATGAAAAGCTCTTTGCCAATTCTCCTGATTATCCAAATTTTTGATTATTCAATCTGGCCTCGGTCTCAATTAGATCAGATAAATGGTGCTCCACTGTAAATTTAAAGTGCATTAAAAAATCAACCACAAGAGGGGGAGGTTGCATTCATTGAATAAGTGCTATGGTACTTTCAGTAAAATTTAGTTAATATGTGTTTTTATTTTTTCACAAAATGTAAAAACTAAAGATTCTCTGTAAAAACGCAAATTCTGCATTTTTCTGTGGCAAACGGATTTCTAGGATCCCTGCTCATTAGGTACCAAAAGGTCTTGTGGGTACTGGAATTCCTGCAGTTCCAGGAGCACAACAGAACTCGGTACTGGCACTAATGATGTTGTTGGTATCAAGGGGGTCTAGGATTCCATTGAAGCCAGTCTCTTGGTAGTAACAGCATTCGGTACTGACCCCTTTACCACTGTGGTATGGGACTTAGTTGAAGTGTTAGCATGCTTCATGGTACCTGAAGTACTTGGAGTATCACTAGCACTCCTCTCGGGATCTGAGGTCTCCAGTGACCAGATCTTCTTTGATGAAGAACTCTCTATTCTGCTCCTCTTATCCTTTTCCTTATACTTTGAGTGAGAAGCTCTCAGTACTGGCAGTGCAGTTATTGGTACCTCACTCATGGATATTGATGGAGACTGTGTTTTCTATGCTGTCTTCCTTTTGGTGACTGTGATCTTGACAATGAGGCACTGACAGAAGTGGAGAGTTCCTATATGCGGCATTCTCTTCCACCAGGTCAGCATCTGGTCTCAAGGCTTGCTTCACCATTAAGAGCCTATACTTTATTTCCCTGTTACTCTGGGATCTTCCTTTAAAAGAAGACCAGATCTTACACTTGCTGGGAATATGAGAATCTCCCAACCAACAAATGCATTGGGAATGTCCACCACTAACACAGATTGCTTCTCAACAAGACAGGCACCTTTTAGAGCCCAGCATCCCTGTACAAGAAAATTTGTTCAAGCCCCTCAATGGGGGGGAGGAGGGAGGGAATGTGTTGGGTTTTTTTTAAGAAAGGGGAAAAAGGGGGGAAATGTTCCAACAACTATAAGGTTACTAAATCTACTACTACTGAGACCTAACTATAAAAGCTAAAACACAAATACAAGAGGGAACAGGCACACAGCAATGAGGCACACTGCTAGACTCCATCTCTGGCCAAAGGCAGTTCAAAAGGAACTGATATCAGTTCGCACATGCAGCCCTATATAGCCTTGGTACAGGGCATGAGGATGTGTAGGGCACAAGCATGGGCTGAACGGACACTGCTACCAGAAATCTCTGATCAAAGGCGCAGGGCACATGTGCAACTAAAGTGGAGCACCCACAGGACACTACTTGAAGAAACTGTTTATGTTCTAAAACCCCAAGTGAGTGTTCTCACTTGTTCTAAAATAAGAAAATGTAATTCTAAACTGATTTATTACCAGTTTTACAGTTTTATTTTGTAAATTTACTTGAGAGTTAGCAGAAAATCCTGGTGTTTGAACAAAATCATTGAATGGAAATTATATCCAAAGTAGCCATGTTCTTGGACCACCAACAAAGCTGCTTGGGTGTTTTGTGTTTACTCCTCACACAGTAAGTCAGGTAGCACTAGGCACACAGGGCATACCCAGGAGCTGATTTGGTTCACTCCCTACTTTGGTCTGACAGGTCAGGTTGCCAGATGTCAGTCCAGACACAAACTACTGTGAGTGGATGTCCTCCCCTAACCAGTGGGAGCTGGGTGTGCTGCAGAGGCACCATGCACAGCAGCCCCTCAGACAGGGTTACTATTTTAACTTCTCTCAGTTAAGTGGGTGGAGATCATGCAGACTATTACACAATTTTTCTCTTTTCAGTATATTAAGCTGATGGTAAAATATTGCATATATTTGTATCTCAAAGCTGTTCTCTGCAGGGGCACCACAATAATGCACTAGAGACTGAGGTACCCTACAGAAAAAGCTGAGTCAGTTACATGTTTCTTTACTGGGTATCTCTCTTTCCTGATGTCTACAGACAGGAGTTTATTTTATTTGAAATGTAAAGAGTTTTGTCATCTTGAGTTTGTCACAGATCAATACAGTATGTCTGTAGCCTAGATTTATATGGAGTAATTCCAGAAACTTCCATGTGCAGTTGAGCGCCTAGTTACTGTGCTACATATACAATTGCAGTCACAGTGTCATCTGATAATTTCCATAGACAATTACTATGATTGAACATGCAACCACAATGAGGTATAGGAACTTGAATATTAGAGCAGACCAATAATCTGCCTAGACTGGTGTCTCTTCTTTGATAGTGGCCAATGACAGACACTTCAGAGGAAAATGTCAGAAACACAGTCATGAACAGCTCTGCCTCATGATAAATGTATGCAGAGTTTACATACACAAATCTTCATTTAAGCCATAAACATTTCCAAGGGTTCATGAGTCTTAGAAGTCCTAAATAATCTGGTAGACATCTGTCTTATCTGTGTCTGGGTGACCTCTATGGAACTGGTTGTCCTTAAATGTTCAATGGATTAGAAAATCAAGGAGCTGCTGCTGTAGAGGATGGAGGGGAGGTGGGATTTGGCACTGGGTTGTTGTGTTACTCTGGAAGTAACAGAAACAAGGAAACTCTGGCACTGATCTGGATCATGCACTCATCTAGATCCAAGTGGTCTGAGCTGCCATAGGAAGAGGATTTGAGATGAAGCCACTCACCTTGTTATAACAGACTATGAATTCACCAAGCTGGTGAGCCAGGATGCGCCTACGATCATTCAGGGCCAGACGTCGACTGGGGAGTAGCATCCTCAAAGACTGCTGAAGATTGCTGGCTGCTCGTTTCAGAAAGCGTACCACCAGCTCCTGCCGCCAAGGGAGACAGCATTAACAAGAGAGTTTAGATGGGCAGGTGCAAGGTGTGAAGTGGAGGGCACAGGGGTTGCTAGATCAGCCCATGATGGATAGAGAAGAAATGCTGTTCTGTGGATGTGGTATGACATGAAGCAGGTAAGAGTACATCCCAGAATGGACATGGTGGTGGATGCTTTTTAACCTACTCTCACAAATTCCCAAGATAAGGGGAAGAAGAACTGTGCATCACTTCCTAGACTGGGACAGTGATGGGAGTACTTCGGGAATATCTGTCTGAGGAAAGTGTAACTGAGGAGGAGATGTGGAAAATCAAGCAACATCGATAATGGAGTGTCCCTATCCAGAGAAACATTTTATAGAGAGCATTGTCAAAAGTATCATGTAGAAGGAGTCCAGGGATAATATGACAAAACCCCTCCAAGACACTCCTCTCCTCCCCACCATAATGGGGGTGGATCTTGGGGTTCTTTTGGCCTACCACATGATCAGATACAACCTCTGGTCAGAAATGAATTCCTGCTCCCTGCATCATCATGTCCCCTGTATGACCTCTGGCCAGATACCCACTCCAACCTCCCGCCATGTCAGCCCCCTCATGCCACCTCCAATGGGGAGGGAATACAGCAAGTCAGGCCCCAAGGCAAGGCGCCTGCTGTGGATGTTCAGTTCTGAACCCTTTTTGTCTCCCCTCTGGATTTGTTTTTGGTTAGATGCCCTGCTAGTGCATAAATGAGCTGCCTCACAGCCAGGGCATTGGATTTCACAGCTCGCCTCTCACTGCCATTACACTAGGCTGGTTTGATCTGTTATTTTAAACATTTTTCGCAGCACAGTAGACAAAGTGAATCTAAAAAAGCCAGTTTCAATTTTCCACTTGGAAAGCAGGGGTAACATTTTCCACTGAGCCGACTGATTATTTCTGACACTTGGTTTTATCTTCAAGCTAAACTGGCTGTTTCCCCACAGCCTGCTTTTAGCAAGAGCCCATTTGGGTTTGCAAAAAGCCCAGCATATCATCTGATGCTGTCTTTCAGGAGTGTTAGAGAGAGGATACTGGGCTTGCTGAACTCTTTAAAGTGGCTGATTCAGATAGGGAGACTTCATTGTATTGTCTGAGGAAATCCAGGGACATTCAACAACAGCATTAGAGAGAAACCTTTTTTTCCCCCCTCTGTCTCTGCAGAGAAGAAAGGGACGATCCTATAAGGTTCAGCTACCTGCAAAGAGTAAGAGTGTGGATGGGGAAGAAGGCTAAGCCAGGCACCCACTCAACTTGAGCAGATTCAAGCATTCTGTTTCTATAAGAAGCTGCAGGTCCCTTTATGATTCGACTGGAAAATCCAGGCACTGGCAAGACATCTCAGAGAAAATTCTGCCAGGAAACAGGAATTCAACAGCAGGTACGTTCAGAGGTAGGAATGCAGGAAGAGGAGGCTGAGATGGATGGAGTGTCAACCATGCCCAGTTCACTAAGAGCTGTCTGTGCTGATCTTACTCGGAAGTCAGTCAGTATCTCTACCTGGTCTGCATGCTATGAACCTGGCACCAGTTCCTCGACAGAGGAGGAGATGTGTGCACAATTTCAGGAACCAGGAGCTTTCTAACCTCATTCTTTCTGAGGGTGGGAACTGGCCTCCACTCTCTCAGGACAGTTCCCCAATAGGTTCCTCTTGCCCAACACAGCTTCTTACCATTTGCTCATCCTCCTTAGCAGCCCAGGCAGCATTGTGGATCTGGTCTCCGGCCTCCTTCATCAGACGCAGCTGAACACGATGCAGGTAGGCAGAGAAAGCTCTGCGAGCCTGCACTTTGCTGTGGAAGCCAAGACAGTGGTCAGATATACAGCACCACAGAGCGAACAGCCCCTATCTGGACTACTTATGAACCTAATTACAGTCACCCAAATCCTCCAATATGTAAAAGCATCTAGGGATAAGGAGAAAGAGGGCTTCTTTGTCCCTAATTTATTCTTAATGTACCTTCATTCCACCAGGTTGGGGCAGGGGCTCCAGAGGATACTACAGGGAACAGGCAAGCGTTCTCTGAGCAAAGACAACCTCCGGGGATGGGGTGCCCTCCTTCCCTTCCCACATCCTTAGCAGCCCAGTCAGGAGGTCAACCACGTGCGCAACAGCCAAGCAGAATATTCCTAGCCCACTCTGAAGCTCTGTGGTGCTGTCTCTTTATGATAATTTTGAACACAGCACTAGCAATCACAAATTAAACTGAAAGGCTCTGTCCCAATGACAGAGCTTCTAAAGGAGGCCCTGCAGTTCTTATTGGGTGAGTGAGGGGACCTCTCCCCATCTAGATGAAACCTCTGTAAAACAAAGGAATAACATTTGTGAAGATGAGCTCTTCCCCAGCCACCCCAGAGTTACAGGCCAGGTTTCAATGAGCAAAGTAAGCAAAGTACACCATGCAGCTGGCCGAACACACAAGGGAGCTGTGGAAGTGAATCAAGGTCACCAGATGGTACAGGAGTTGGGTGGGATATACAGTTTCATTCTCACTCCTCTACAATTATAGTCATTTTAATGAACAAACATGTTAAGACAGACAACTACCCAAGACTGCTCAGCTCCACCCATCTGCAGCCCAGCCTTCAAACCCTCCTCCAGCTCTGAGTGGGCCCAGCTTCCTGCCTCCAGTTACTCCCAAGGACTCTCTGCTCCTCTTTCACCCACTTCACACTTTGTGGCTTTTTTTATTTTATTTTTATTTTTTACACTTCCCTGTACTCAGGACAAGGTATGTCCCCACTATGCCAGACATGGTCTTCTACCTCCTGCTCTCTATTTCTGTCTAAGTACTCATATGGCCCTCACCCCTGTAGTAGGTCAGCACCTGGTCCCATCGGGGCCTCTGATCCTTTATCAGGCTCCTCAGCTCAGAAGCCTGGCCTCCCTACCACACATACCTACAAAGTGCAGTGATACATACTTATAGAACTATGGAAATCATACAAAATAGCAACGGCACCACTATGGACCACTGCATCAGCCTAAAGCTGATATGGGGAGATGACCATGGAAGTTTAAATGCCATGCACTGTCTGGAGTTATGCCTCTGCTTGGTCATTAGTTCTTCAAATTTCTGAAGCCCTGTCACAGAGCTAGGGAGGATCTGAGAAAATGAGTTCATAGGAGGCTCAGGCTGACATCTCTACTGGGTTATCTCAAGGGTTTGCTTTAACTAAAACACAAGCTTGGTCTCTGCCCTGCAATGAACTCCACAACACAGAACAACCCCTATGGCTCCTCAGAGCTCCCTGTCCTAGCTTCTAGACAACAAACCCTTTTCCTCCCACATGGGACAAACCCAGCCATGAGCAGACTCTGAACTCTGACTAGGAATTAACTCCCAGAATACCAGGCCACTGTAACTCCATGGCAACTCTCTCCTAGGGGCTCCCTCCCTCCCTAGGGTTGCAGATCCCTTCCAGGAGCATCAAAATATCTTGTGATAAAGTCTCTGAGATTCCTTGCTGCTAGGATGAGAGAACAACTCATTGACAGCTCCTTGCCTGTATCTTGGTTTCAAAACACAGAACTTGGACCTGCTCTTAATCCCAACATGGAAACAGAGGAGGCCCTTCAGAATGGGCCCTGGAGATAGAATGTTACCTTGGCTCCTGCAATCTTTGTCTTGCACTTGAGACCCAGAAGAAGAAAAAAGCATTCAACAGAGGCCTCAAAAGGAGGGGCAGACACAGCTTCCTCTATTGGTGATTCCCCTGGGGATCATCCCCAATAATTGTCACCACCCATCAATACTGCTAGAAGGATGAGAGGCAGAGAAGCTGGCTGGCCAGGCCCAGCTGGAGGACTGAGGAACATCCTCTCAGAAGGGCTGCATGGGACAGGCCTGGTTTCTTTCAGATGAGATTTTCATAACTTCAGCTCCTCAGCCCGCTGACCCTGCAGCCAAGCTTTCCATCAGTGACAAATCAGACGGGGCCAAGTCCAGCACAATCCTTGCACATGAAGTCACTGCACGCCTTACGCTGTGTGGAGCTCTTTAGCTGCTCCAGGGGAATCCCAATGGGGCTGGGTGCTGAGTAGGAATCTGCCAGCAACTTTTGACAGAAGCCTGCATTCTTAGCAGGACTTGGCTGCCCTGTGTGTGAGTGGGTGAGGTCAGTACTGCTGTGTCTGCTTTGAAAACCTGTTTCCAAATTTTCCCCTCTACAGACACCACAGCAGCACATGTCTCAGCCATAACAAGATAATAGCGCAACCCAAATTCCTCCTGATGTTTCCTGAGGCCTCCCAGCCTCACGGAAACTAATTTGGGAAAGAAGAGGCAGGTCACATAGGGGTCAATGAAATCTTGTTTTCTATAAGCTTGGACAATTTTGTATAAGATATGACAAACAATGAAAACACCTTTTATCCAGAAGAGGGATAGTCATCCCTATCCCCATAATGCTCCCATCCCCCTCCCCTATTCAGCAAGGGGATACTCTACCCCCCCCCATCCCTTATAATGTGCCCCCCACCAGATAGGTACTCTGTCTCCCCAACTTATCAAGAAGAGTAATTACCTTCCTATCTAGCAGGCCACAAGCTGGAGAGTTCCCAAACTTTTCTTCCACCCCACCCTTTTTGCAAACAGTCCAGCCAAGCACCAGAGCACACTCCACCCCACCCTTCCCAACACTGGACAATCAGATCTCTCAATGCCTCATCACCCTCAAAACACTTCTGTCTTGCTTTCAGGACACTGCAATCTGGCATTTCAGTGGCTATTGCCAGAGTTAGGGCTTGTTTGCACAGCAAGCTACAGAGTGAACCTACAGCACACCAGCTTGCCGCACAATTACTTCACATGTGGACACTGTTAAAGTGCACTGAAAGTCCCGGAGTGCAGCTCACTAGTATGTCACTGTGCTATAACAGTGTCCAATGGGATGTTACTGCACAGCAAGCTGGTGTGCTGTATATTCACACACTGGCTTGCTGTGCAGTAGCTCACCATGTGGACAAGCTCTTAGGGCTGGTCTACACTTACCCCCCAAATCGAAGTAAGGTACGCAAATTCAGCTACGTGAATAACGTAGCTGAATTCGACATACCTTACTTCGACCTTACCGCGGTTCAGACGCGGTCCACACGCGGCAGGCAGGCTCCCCGTCGACTTCGCGGTACTCCTCTCGCTGAGCTGGAGTACCGCAGTCGACGGGGATCACTTCCTGGTTCGATTTATCGCGTCCAGACCAGACGCGATAAATCGAACTCGGAACTTCGATCCGCAGCCGTCGAACTACCGGGTAAGTGTAGACTAGCCCTTAGAAAAATTCACTTCAAGAACAAAAGCACAAGAATGGGAAGTGTGCTTTTATGGGAGGTGGGAAAGACAGGGGAAATCCATTCTCAGCCTTCATTTGTTGGCTTAATGTACAATAAAAATACAGTAGGATGAAAAACAGAAGAGATAATGAACACAAAGGTTTACAGTTCAACAGGAGACCCCTTGCATGAAATCAGAGGAATTTTGAAGGCTGGGGTAGCCAAAGTGCAGCTCACAGCCACCTGTTTTAAGAAAAGTACAGCCCATGGAGACTTTAGGTCCCAGTGTGCAATGCTGGGGTCTCACATTCTAGGACTGATAAGGTGAAGGCTCCTGCATTTGTCTCCATTTTGTGTAAACTAGATGCCAATGCAGCCTGCAGCTGAGCAAAATCTAGGCATGTTTGTTATGGGCTCTCCCACCTTCCTGTCCCTGGAGAGCGGGGAGGTTCACAACTTATTGAATGTCCGCAGGCTCCATGTATTCATTGATACTAGTTGCTATGCTTACCAAAATAATCTGCCTAATGACGCTTACCTTAGATTCCCATTCTCCTGTAGAATCTGCAGCAAGTTAAATCGAGGCTCTGGATCCACTTCCTGGAGAAGCAGCTCTGCCCCTCCACCTCCAGCTTTCTGTTCAGGCTCCTTCAGCACGTTCTCTCGGCAGACAGCTTCCATCATCTCCGCCAGGTTTGGCTTGCATTTCACCTGCATGTCCGTAAGAGAGGCAGCAGTTTCATCCTGAGTTACCTCTATTTCTTCATCCTCATGTGCCTCCTCTTCTTCCTCACTCTCTGCGTCCGACTTGAGAGGCATTTCCTTTAGCTTGGAAGTCCCTAAAATGAGAAGGAAACCAACAATGGTGATGAACAACAAAAAAATCTTTCCTGTTACCCATCACCCCTTTGTTTATGCCCACACTCTTTGCTGCTGGAAGTCCAAGAACCCGCTCTAATAGCCAAGTCTTCACCACTGTACTTCATTCTTCACTAGAGCTTTCCACCTAGGATCTCAAAGCAGCTTATAAATCCCTCCTCCCAACACCAGAAGATAACTGAAGGCTACTATCCTCCATTTCCTGCTCTGTAAAGTAAGAACAGATAAAATGACTTGTCCAGGATCATATCCTGACTCCATGGCAAAGTCAGGGTTAATACATTACCTGATCTCTGGTTCTTATGTTAGTCTGGATTTCCTTGCCTTTGTTTACTCTCATGTACACCAAAATACTGTTGCTAGAGTGTCTCCCACTGACATAGAGGTGTGCACAAGCGCTTATGCCAGAAAAACTTATGTCACTCGGGGGGGGGGGGGGGATTCACACTCCTAAGCGACAAAAGTTTTGCCGATATAAGTGCCAGTATAGACATGCCCTCAGTCTTTCCAACGTAAGCTCCAATGAGCAAGTTTGCCCCTTGCTCTCTGGGCTTAGCTGGTGCCACGTTGGAGATCCAGCCTGGAATACCTCTGACTTTCAGCCTCTTGTGGAGGGTGACAGGAAAGCATAAGCACACACCAGCTTTCACAGACATTTCTTGTCCCCAGAAAAAGGCTGTGACTACACCTTCAGAGGAGGGAATGGCATATCAGAAGAAGGCCATTCAGAACTAGAATGGAGTGAAAAATCAATGCTGACCACTGAGTCTCTACCTTCTGAGCATGATCCCCAGGGCCAAAAGAGCCCACTAAGACCTGCATTAGATCTCTTGCAGCCCTGCCCCCTGGGGACTCAATCACATACACCCCTCATTAGCCTGGCTTTACCCTCTTGCCATCTAGAATCCTAGCCATAAATACCTGGTGGTCTTGCCCGTGCTGCTCTCATCTTGCTATGACATTGTCTGCGCTTCCGTACCTCCAGCGACAGGAGCTTCCTCTCATACAGCGCAGCACGAAGTTTAGCATTAGAATCCATGGCTTCCAGCCCCAGATCCACTCCCCCATTAAGAGCAGCTCTGGGAAGCACAATACAGACAGCAGCCTCAATCACCTTGTCTCCCCCATTATGGCCTACATCTTAGTGTCTTCCTGTTACATTAGAAAAACAATGAAGCCCAACCTAATCTTGCTCTCGGTTAAGCCCACATCATGTTAGAGGGAAGCAGGGCCGGCTCTGGCTTTTTTGCCGCCCAAGGCAAAAAAGCCTCCCGCTGCCCCCCCCCCCCCGACCCGGTGGGGAGCGCGGGGGAGGGCGGTCCCACTCTTCTCGGCCGGCCGGCGCGCCGGGGGGAGGGCGGCGAGCCCGGCCGCGGCCCCGCTCTCCCCGGGTGAGCGCCGCCCCCCTCCAGGTGCTGCCCCAAGCACATGCTTGGAGGGCTGGTGCCTGTAGCCGGCCCTGGAGGGAAGGGCTCTTTCAGAGACTTGCACAGACTGTGGGATAGCATCTCCCCAAACCACCATGGTGGGGATGTAGACTCAAGGCATGACCCAACAAAGCTCATGTCTCCGTCACCATGCCCCTATTGACTCTGCAGCCCATGTGAGCTAGTCACACTTTAGGAAACTCCTTCTCAGATGGCAGCAGCTCCAAGCAGAACAGTAGGGGGCCTTGAGAGGGGCACTAGGAATATAAAGTCATGCAAGAGACTGAGGTGGAGGATCCTTAACCCAAATTCCACCTGACACAATCTCTTATTCAGATAGCTTGTTCATAAGTGTGCTTAAGTCAGAACCCAGAATTTTAACATGATTCAGGTGGACAAAGTGCCAGCTCTTGTGCAATCCTGTCCCAATCTAAGCAAAAACCCTGAGGCATTGCACTGCTCTGTGGGGAGACAGGAACATGACAACTGAGCCAGAGCAAAGAGCTCCAGCAGAAAGCACCTCTGAGTGTAACTAGCGCATCCACAGAGCTTCCTACTGCCTTCCCCTCTGCTTCCCCCGCCCTTGGGATCTACCAAAAAAGAGACATGGACACCTGAGGTCTGTGAATCTCATCCCTTATAGAAGAAACAGTCTGTACCATTCTGTATCACCTGGGAGGGTCCGATCATGAACAATAGAGACCCTCCAACGTTCTATGAGTCTCACACCAGCAAGCATGAGATGAAAAGCCTCAATAACCTGTCCCCTAAAAACTTACCTCTCTAAGAGCAGGACAATGGGTTGTTCACAGGGCTCACTTTACAGAGCTGGTTATGAGAAGGGGGGAAACTTCAGTCTGTCAGGTCTTCCCACAGAAATCCACCTAGTGATGGCAGGATGAGTGCTGGGGCTCCTAGCTACTGACCTGGGTTCTGTGAGCTGATGCCAGAGCAGTATGAACTAATAGTAAAGCCCTACAAATGCAGACATTCTTTTTTTAAATAGCCACTTACCGGGCTCTTCCAGAAACTGGGCCTCTTCTCATCCTGGCCCTACAGAGGAAGATAGGGCAGCAGGTTACAGGGTAGCACCACAAACTCATTCTATATCACTGGAAGATTTGCCAAGCTCTCCAAGTCCTTGGCATACAAAGGGAGGCCACCCAAGTTTGCAGAGTTCCTTGAAAACCCCACCCCAAAAAAGGATAAAAAGGTCCTGACACAGGAAGTCCAAGCAGCTCTCTTTCAATAGGAATTTGTTTTCCTTTAGCTCATATTGAAGGATCTGCCAGCTGGAGCCAAAGGGCCAACAAACATCCCCCAAAGCACGAATGCAAGTGAGACTTGGACGTATGGCTAAAATTATATTCCTGTTGCCAGGATGCCAGCTATAAGGGCCTCCAATTATGATGCCCCATCTTCATCAGCAACATTACTTCTCACTCCCAAATGGGCTTCCTGTGGAGCCAAGATCAGGGAGAGAAAACTGTGGCAGGCCCAGACACAGGACCACTGATGTTGGGTGCAGCTTTTAGTGGAGGTCCACACAGCAGCATGCATTGCTGTGTCTTTCAGAGTGCTGAGTGGAGAGCACAGCCGGCGGTACAGGTGGCAGCACTGGAGCTTTGGAAAAGGCTTCAATGCCTACCCTACAAGAGGGAATATTCTGTGGTGTGAAGCTGAATTCAAAGCAAGGGGGATAAGGAACTGCTGCAACCTCTGCACAACCCTCAGTGGCTTCTAAGCCTGTTATTTCTCGTTATACAATGCCACTGAGCATTACTGATTCAGTGCACCCTCCTCCTCTTTCCTCCCCTGCCCCGTGGTTGCTTTCCCATGCCCTTTGCACACCATGCTGTGCATCTCCTTCTCCTCCTGAAAGTGTCCAAAGATGGGCCTCTCCAAGCTTTAGGGACCCTCTGAAGACTTTGTCTGGAGGGACAGGTAGCTTTGTATTCACTGGTGTACTGAGGAAATAATGTGTGGCTATTCCCACCCTTATAGGTCACAGCACAGTGGCCAACAATATTGTAGCTATTTAGAGCTACTCCTCTTTGCTCTATTTCAGTCCCCTCTGTCCCTCTCCCAGAAGGTGTTCCCCCTACAGTACAGGCTGCCAGAGCCAGCTCTCCTGTTTCCTACCTGTCCTGGAAGAGACGTATGGCCAGCATATAATTCATTGTTGTCTTGTGCTCTAAGTAGGATCTGGAAAGGCAGGTGGAGGGGACTGATTAAAGCTCAGGCCAACACAATGAAGGAGGCCTTACACAGAATGAAGACATTCATAAAATACACCCCTAACAGAAAGGCACTGAAACAATATGGTGCAATTGGACAGGCAAGGGGAGAGGAGAAAGGCAGTCACTGCCTGGCACCTAAACATTGCGGGAGGCAGGCACAGTGTGTGGTGAAAAAAGGAAACCAGGACATAAGGGAAAAGGAAAAGCAGAACCTAGTGTCACCCAGGGATGAGGCCCATTCCGTACCTGTGGCTCCGAGGGTGGGATAAACAGCATGCGTCAGGGTAACCAGAGGAGAGAGAGGGAGTTGACAGTTCTGTCCCCCATCCCCAACCACTAACTTGGTTTTAATTCACATACACGTCCTATAACCAAAACCAGAGCACCAGGGCAGAGCACTGAACCAACACACTGGGGATTTCTCCTCACCCATAAAGATCCCATGTTAGTGGCGTTGGGAATATCCGGATGAAACCCCCTCTCCGCTCATTCTCCTCCTTCACTCGACGCAGAACTTTTATCTGGGATCGGAGAAAGAAACAAGAGCCTAGTAAAACAGATAGTAGGACTGAAAATTATCCTCAGTGCAGGGCCTCGGTTCCAGAGGATGAGGCTGTCATTAACCCTGCAGTTGTGGGAGTGACTAGTGTAAATTTGACATAATTATACAATAATGTCATCCTACATGTAGGCACTGAAGGATCCTAAAGCTTTTTACAGCAGGGGTGGGCAAATTACAGCCCGGGGGCTGCATCCGGCCCTTCAGATGTTTGAATCCGGCCCTTGAGCTCCCGCTGGGGAGTGGGGTCCAGGGCTTGCCCCGCTCCGGCGCTCCAGCTGAGGAGTGGGGTCGGGGCTTGCTCCGCTCCATGCATGCTGTGGCTCTGCGCGGCTCCTTGAAGCAGCAGCATGTCTCCCCTCCAGCTCCTACGTGGAGGGGCAGCCAGGGGGCTCCGTACGCTGCCCCCGCCCCAAGCGCTGCCTCCACAGCTCCCATTGGCCAGCAATGGGAGCTGCAGAGGTGGCGCCTCCACGTAGGAGCTGGAGGGGGGGACATGCTGCTGCTTCCAGGAGCTGCTTGAGGTAAGCGCCGCCAGGAGCCTGCACTCCTGACCCTCTCCCATGCCCCAACCCCCTGCCCCAGCCCTGATCCCCGTCCCGCCCTCCGAACCCCTCAGTCCCAGCCCGGATCACCCTCCTGCACCCCAGAGCCCGCACCCCCAGCCAGAGCCCTCACCCCCCAACCCCCATCCCAACTCCCACACCTGAACTCCTCATTTCTGGTCCCAGCCCAGAGCCCGCACCCCCAGCCAGAGTCCTCACCCCCTCCCGCACCCTAACCCCCAATTTTGTGAGCATTCATGGCCAGCCATACAATTTCCATACCCAGATGTGGCCCTCGGGCCAAAAAGTTTGTCCACCACTGTTTTAGAGCATATACGCACTCTTGTCATAGCAGGGGGAGGGGCCCTTCTGGGATGGAGCCACTATTATCAGTAAAATTCAGCAGTTTCACTCTGAGAATAAAGCATTTTCTAAAAGGTCTCCCTTATCACTTTTGTTTGTCCCACTCTGGGGCCAGAGAGCCCTCTCATGAGGCAGTGGATACTTGGCAGCAGCAACTGTTAATCCAAAATTACATTGGATTATTAATTTACTTGTGTTCCCCTCATCCCCACATGTTGTCCCAAAGCCAAGGTACATACAATATCAGATATTTAACTTACCTCCTCCATGGACAGGCCCAGCATGGAGCCACTTTGCTTTCCGGCTACCTTTTCCCTGCCTGAGGGCATCACGTTTTTCACCTCAGCATCACTGGCAGACAGAGGGCGGGCACGCTGTAGAGACATAGTCTGAATCCAGATGCTACTCTTTTCCCCTCTCTAAACTTATTTTAAAAATTAATAGCTAAATTCAAATTCCAAGCCCCCATGCTCAGCAGAATCCACATTCCAGGGTACCAGAGCCAGGATTCACACTCCCAGCCTCCAACTACAGCAGGATGGACACCCCATTGGGCACTAATGTCAGGATTCACACTCCCAGTTTTTGAGAACAGTAGGACCCCAGGCATTAGTGCCAACATTCACACACCTAACCCCTTTGAGAAAACCATGACACATACCCCAGAGGCCCTGCAGCCAAGATTTTCACTCCCAGCCCCCAAGCACAGAAAGATTCATGGCCAATGGGCATCAGAACCAGGATTAAACAGTCCCAGGTCCCAGGCAAAGTGGGATCCACATCCCAGGGGCACCAGAGTCAGGATTCACCCTCCCAGTCAGGCTGCAAGGACTCTAGTAACTAATTAGTGAGATGAAGTTGTGGGAGAAAAAGGTGAGACATTCAGTTCAATATCCATAATGCTCTCTTCTCAGCTCACAAATCTGAAAGACCACAATCTGATGCTCCTGGGACTCAATAGAAAGACCTTTTCTCTTCATACAGCCATACTCCACAGCCAAGTGGCTATCAGTATTATCACAGATAAGCACAGAAGGCAAAGGAAGACTAGAAAAGCAAGAACCTAAAAAAGGAAGGGTTTGCAGAAGTTCTAGCAAACAAAGTCTTAACCTGAAGTCAGTGCCTGGTAAGTCACAATAGATCAAATGATGAGCCTGGAATCAGAAGTATTTGAAAAGCAGGAGAACTGTCAGGTCCTAAGAAACTGACAAAAACTTAGATCAGTGTGACCGAACACAATCTGACAGGATAGTGCAGGGCCGGTGCAACCTATTAGGCGACCTAGGCGGTCGCCTAGGGCACTAGCATTTGGGGGGCGGCATTTTCTTCGGTGGCAACCACAGCGGCCGGATCTTCGGCCGCCCCGGTCGTCGTCGTCATTTAGGCGGAGGGAGCTGGTGCAGGGGGGCGCGGGGAGGGCCGCCTGCAGCAAGTAAGGGGGGGGGACGGCACGCAGGTGAACTCCCCGCCCCAGCTCACCTCTGCTCCGCCTCCTCCCCTGAGCACGCCGCCCCGCTCTGCTTCTCTCCCTCCCAGGCTTGCGGCGCCAAACAGCCTCAGGGCGGAGGGGGGGTGGGGAGCTGCTGCAGGGCTCGGGGAGGCGGGAGGGCGCAAGGTGGAAATTTCACCTTGGGCGCGAAACATCCTTGCACCAGCCCTGGGATAGTGGAACAGTTTAACTGGGCCCTAGGCACAGCTCAGGTAGGCTTCCTCTGTAGAAAGACACAAAAAAGACTGAGCCCAGTCATTCCTCCAGATGGCATTCAAACCCCCTCTTAGCACAGAAGTGAAAGAAGAATGAGGAAGTAATCTCAAATTGATTAAACCTTGGGAGTAATCCCACAGAACACATACTGAAATTAAGATGAATGCAGGATCCAGTTGTATTCTTATTTGTAAGGATCATCTGAGCTAGTAACTAAAACAATAGAATTTCATTGTGGCAACCTCCACAAAACCACAAGCACGACAGAAGCTGATGATGAAGCAGTTGCAACAGGAATGGATGTTGCGCTGGAGCAGGCTGGGTCAAGCGACTCAGAGGCAATTCATGTGGTGAGAACCAGAGGGAAAGCTGACATAGCAGGTGCCAACGGAAAATGTTTCATTACAGCCTATTGAAAAGTGATTAGATAGGAAGGACCCCAAAGAGGTCTGGCTGGGGAAAAAAATAAATGAATGAGTAAACAGGAGGCACTAGAGTCATTGAATTTAAAGCCAGAATGGACCACTCGATCATCTAGTCTGACCTCCTGTATATCACAGGCCACCAACACCACCACTAAACCCAACAACCACAATTAGACCAAAGTATTACAACCCACAGGAAACTAGACTACTATGTGCCACAGGCATAGAATAGGAGAGACCAAGGTGCATCAGTTCCCCAGGCTCCTGCAATGGCAGAGAAATGATTAAATGAAATATACCCAGATGATCCTGGCAAGTGACCCACACACATAGGTTACAAAGGAAGGCAAAAAACCCCAAGATCACTGCCAATCTGACCTGGTGGAAAATTCCTTCCTGAGCCCAAAAATGGTGATCAGTCAGACCCTGAGCATGTTGGTTATTCCATATCCTTTCTCCCTGCATTCGCTCCCCTATGTCACCACTATCAACTCCTTTGCCTCGATATCTTAACTCTCTAAAATCTTCCACCATCCATCCACTTCCTAAAAACCTTTCCTTGACTCCAACATTATACACACCACGTCAGAAATGATTCTTAAAGAAAACATTAGGAGAGAGTTTTTCATCTTAAAGGCTTTCCATGGCCCTATCCCTGGAGGTAAGTCAGTCTCTTCACTGCAGATGGGGAAAATAAGCAGAGAGGGGAAATCAGTTATTCAGTGTCAAAGCTGAACGTAGAACTCAGCCGTTTCTGGCTCTCACCCACGTGCTCAATTCTACAGAGACTGTACTGTTGTCTAAGTGCTGGAGAAAGAAGCTCTCTCTAATCTTCTTTACCTCTTGTCCAACAATATCCTCTAATATTTCGGTGTAAGGTTCATTCTGATCATAGCAGAGAAACCTCTCTCCTCTGAGTAGATAATGACTTCAGAAGGTTCTTGCTCCCTCCTTGACCACAGTGCAGCTTTTGAAAAACTGTGGACAAGATCACCTCCTGGATCTGCTTCCAAAGATGGGCACATGCCTCTGAGTCCCACACCATGGTCCTACCCTGACCTAACCACCCATGGCAGCTACTACAAGATCACTCCCGCTATGGAACTTTGTGATTCAGTACCACTCTTTTCTTTCAATCTTACTTTTACCCTTAATCTTAGCTTTGACTTATGCTGAGGACATACAACTCAAAATATTTTCTAACACCTTTAAACAAATCCTTTCTTGTCACCCTCTCAGCTCATCTTGCTCTAGTGCATTTGTGACTTCTTCAACACTTGTTTCAGATGGCTGTCTCAAGGACAATAATTATTTCTTCTCTTGGGCAAGAGAAGCCCTTCTCCTTTACCCAGACCTCTTTTGTCTCTGGCCTCCATGACCTAGGCAAAATCCTACACTTCTCTCCACCCACAACTGTGATATTGCTCCTATTTGCTACTGCTACTCCACACTGACTACTGCAGTTTCCTTCTCTATGGCCTCCCTGAATCCCAAGTCTCCAGGCTCCAGCATGCAAATGTTGGTGCCACCATCTTGCACCTTTGTGGATAGATGATCACACCAGCTTGACTTTTTAAAACAATCTTGCCACTGCTGAGAACCTTCTCCCTGCAGCTACAGCCATCTGGAATAATCTTCCTGTATCTCTCCATCTCCATTCAAATCTCAGATGAAACATCCTTTCTCCTTTAACTCTGAATCTCTTTATCTGGGCTATTTAGTTCTGCAATACATTCTGGGATAATTTGTATCAAAGACCAACTTTGTGTTTGTTAATCAAGACTGCGCAGAGACAGGGCACTACAAGAGACAGACAATTGGAATAAAAATCTCATGTTCTGCCAAGACACCTTCACCTCTGACAAGGTGTGACATGCCCTGTAGTGAGAGGCCATAGCTAAAAAGTCCAGGTGAATGGCTAGGTGGTCCCACCACCTCCTTTTCCGATTTTGCCTATGTCCTGCACAAATGCATTCTGCATCACCTCCACCCCCAGCAATCATAATAATAACCTTCAGGCAAATGCTCAAATGTTTAGACCTTCTGAGTACATGCACAATCCGCAACAACAGAAAAAACAACTCCACATGACAGAAGCAAGTAACCAACCTATCTCAACTGTCAAGACCAAAGTTATCTTTTTTGTACTGGATAAATATTTTTCATTTGCATTAACACCTACTAGCCATTAAAGGAAAGAGATAAGTGATGCTGTTCAGTTGAACTGTGCAGAGCAGAGAGGAAAAATCCTAAGAGGGAAAACCCTAGGAGTCCCAGGAGCCATTTCATTGAATATCCAAGATATTCCAGTTCCGAGGGAGAAACGGGATGCTGTCCAACATTCCATTACAAGGGCAGAAATGAGAAAATAGCAGCACTTTGCAAAGCAGTCTGAGAACAAATAAGCCTCCACCTGGCACTGGGATAATACCCTAGTCCAGCTCACTAAGAAAGTGATGGAGAATAAGCATTCACATAGGAGCAGAATTCTTCTTGCCTGTGGTGGTGTCCAGGCTGCCTCCCTCCTTGCTGACACACAAGAACAGCAAAGGGCTTAAGACATTATCTTCAAGGGATCTGTCATTTCAAGCAGTACTACGGCCAAGTACCTCCCTTAGATTGGTCTATGCACAAGAAGCTACAGCTCCCCCTTTACTGCTTAGGATTCATTGAAAGAACTCTAGCCCAAACCAATGGTCAATTACAAAGAAAGCAAGTAATTGCTCCATTTCTCTGGAGGGTACCAGTGCTCAGGGAGTCAACCCAAAGAAATCACACAAGGGACTGGCAGTGCATTATGGCGAGACCCATGTTATCATCTTAAGAGTCACCAATCCTAACCTCATTTGTTTCCTACAAATTAAACTTCCCCTGATTAAGGTCACAAACTATTCAAATTTCTAAGATCATGGAGGAGCTGAGAATGACCCAAAATTCCCTTTGCAGTTGAGACCAGAAGTGGAAGAGGAACAGATGATGAAACAGGAACCAAATCAAAAGGCATCCAGAAAAGAGCAGCCCCCCCAAAAAATTCTTGGGTATTGGAGACAGGCCTGTGCCCACCTCTACTCATGGGATCCTCTGTAGAGCCCAGGAACCTCTGTTGCATATCCTTACTCATTATCCTACAAGGGTCTTCCTGGTAAGAGAAGTGCAGGCTGAGGTACCATTGCAAAGAGGGGACAGTCTACTTCATGGCCAGCACTCAGCACTGTGAATCTCTGCTAATGTGTTAATGCAAATCTCTTTTCAGCTGGCCCAGAATTTACTCACCATTTACAGCTTTTATGAGAAATCCATTCTGTAAATTCATAACACCAAAAATCAAATGCTTCAAATACATCTCCGCTTTCCTAATCTCTTCACCCTGAGCTCTGTGTGTGCATTCAAGCAGGAATTCAATGACCAGTGGGGTCTGCCCTAGCAAAAAAGGTTACTTACCATTTAACTTGTTTCCTGAATAAATCGCCGCTTGTAGAGACATGTGCCCCATTAAGTGGCTCCCACAGGTCCAAGAAAGGCTAGGTCAAGGAGGAGAAGGCACAACACTGCACTCCTTCCCTATGCCTCAAAATGTGGTCTTGAAAGTCATGGAGATCTGTATTGATTCCCACTTGTTGAATTGGATATGGGAACTGGAGCCTCAGCCAGGTGTCTTTATGTCCAATGAAATCTCACCTCACCAGTTATTCTCACCCCACAAGATAAATCCAGATCCAGATTTTGGCGGATCTGAGTTTTGTGAGATGTACTTTACCTCAATTCATATAGAGTCTTCCATGTTCTGAATCTGTTTCCAGGTAGATGGAAATCTGAACAGAGAAAGATTTCCATCCACCTGGGCTCCAGTCACTATGCCACAGGAAAGGTCAACTGCAGCAGCACAGTGGCCAACTGCAGGCGGCTCACAAACTCTCATTGAAATTAAAACCCTTTGATTTAAAATTCAGTGCACAATGCCTGTGAGGTGAAAAATGCCTCTGAGAAAACAAATGGGCTGGAAGCTCCCCACCCCACCAACATTTGTGGGATCCATCTGGCTGACAGAGAGAGATGAGGGAAGAGCAGCCTTTCAGAGATCCAGCATTTTAACAGCAGAAGGGACACTGGACATTCACCATGAGCCATATGAGGCCTCAGTCCAAAGGGAAAGGAGATGAAAGAAACCAGGGGCAAAGGGGAAATAAGGCTCTAATTTCAAATATGAAAGCTCTTTCTGCCTCAGATATGGTCTCACAAATACTCAAAAAGCTGTGGGATTCTTGAAGCTAGTCACCCACAATGAAGCTGATTGGGACACACATAGTGCAGTCGCATCCCATGAGCCTCCTCTTCTACAATTGTGCTAGGATTCCAGGGGCCTCACTACACTCACTTGCAGGCTCTTTCACCTTTGGGCAAAACTGATTAAAGCTGCTATCCTGGTATTCTCCTCAGAGCTGCAACACAATGTCCTGGGTTGCTGAACTTGCTTACCTGAGGCTTCTGAAAGGGATTTCTTCTGGCAGACTCAGATGAGTGATGGGCTACCCGGCTTGACCGCTGGCCCGGATCCTGGCACACAAAGCCTGTGGGAGTAGGGAGACATGTAAGAAGAAGAGGTTACTCACCTGGTGCAACAACTGTGGTTCTTTAAGATGCATCCCCCCCCTCCCCCCATGGGCATTCCACTTCACATGCATGTGCACCCCATGCACCTTTGACTGGAGACCCAAGCAAGGACCATACATGCCCTTGTGCTCACAATACCATGGCTATATTGAGCTGTGCAGATGAACTGTGCTCAGTTCCTTTTCTACTGCAAAGTCTCACAAAGGAAACTCTGAAACAGAGAGGAAGGAGGGCAGGGAATGGAGCAACTGTAAGGGGATACACCTTGAAGAACTAGATACTGCACTCCTTCTTCGAGAAGTGTCCCTATGGGTGCTCCACTTCAGGTGACTCCAGAGCAGTATCCCCACAGGGAGGAGGGAGCTCCAGCATCAGGTGCAGCACTGAAGACAAAACCACATTGCCAACTGCTGCATCAGATCTAAAGGCATGGACCAAGGCTTAATGTTTGGAGAAGCTATGTATTGAAGACCACATAGCGGTTCTGCAAATCTCAGATACTGGAACATCTGTAAGTAATGCCATAGATGCTGATTGCAACTTTGTAGAGTGCACTAACACCCTTGAATTTTAGGTTGAATGCTAGCCGCATCACAACATGCAAAAATACACCCAGAGATCCACCTCAATAGCCTACTGGGTGAAGATTGTAGCTCCTTCAGATCTGGCTTCAATGGAAGTAAGTAGTCTAGGAGACATCTGACATTTTTTGGCCCTATCCAGATAGAAGGCCAATGTTCTTCTAACATGTAAAGTATGAAAGGAAGCCTTCTGCTGAGAATTATGTGGTTTTGGGGGAAAACTCGGTAAAATGAATGCATTGACTAAGATGCAACTCAGATGACACCACCTTAGGTAGGAATTTAGAGTGTGAACGTAAGGAAACCTGGTCTTTGAAGAATACCGTGAAAGGATGGTCTGTCATTAAGGCCCCAGTTTCTCCAACTCTTCAGGCTGACGTGATGGCTACCAAAAACCACCATTTTCATAGGCAGGTGAAGAAAGGAACCGGTCGCCATTGGTTCAAATGAAGGTCTAGTTGAGACATCTAAGAACTAGATTGTGATCCCAAGTCAGAGTGAGGTCTTTCATTTGAGGGAAAAGGTTTCCAAAACTTTTGATGAAACTCAGAGTTATTGGGTGAGTGAACACTGAGAACACTTCCATTGGGGAATGAAAGGCTGTTATGGCTGCCAAGTGAACCTGGACCAATCTGGTTGATAATCCTGTTTTCTTCAGTTCCAGCAGGTAATCTAGGATAATCAAGAATGAGGAAGATGCAAGTGTAAGTCATTGGAGTTCACTCCAATGGCTAATCTTTTCCATATTTGAAGGTGAGTATTTTGGGTAGACTCTTAACTACTTTTTAATAACACCTGTTGTACCTCCACAGAACAGGCAGACTCTAGCCCCATAAACCATTGAGGTGCCATGCCCCGAGGCGGAAAACTCCTGGGTTGGGATGAAGCAATTAACCGATGTCTTGGGAGAGGAAATAAGGGATGATCAGAAGCTTGATCACTGGACAGAGGGACAGGTAAAACAGGTAAGGATGCCAAGCTTGCCTCAACCACATTGGGAATCTTAGAATAACCTGGCTTTGTCCTGTCTGATTCTGTTCATCATGCTCAGTATTAGAGGCGTTGGGGGAAATATTGTCCATGGTAGGAGGAAGGTGTGTCCCAGAGAACGGCCACCTAGACTGCCTCTTGAACAGAAAAGACCATGCTTCCTGTTTATAGAGGTGGCAAAGAGGTCCACTTCTGGAAAACTCCGAGTCTGAAATATGTCTTGGAGGGCCTGAGAGTCCAACTCCCATTTGAAGGCCTGGGAGAAGCACCTGCTGAAAGCATCAACCATAGTGTTTTGAATACCAGGAAGGTAGATTGCTGAAATGCGTATGCAATGGCTCATGTGCTAGTTCCGCAACATTACTGCTTCAGCACCCGTAGGGAGTGTGGGGGGTAGATCTGCTTCCTCCTTACTGGATTACATAAAACATGCAGCCCACATTGTCCATCATAACCCTGATGAGAGGCAGAAAATAAGGACAGGCATTTCTGACTGCCCTGAGTTCCAACAGGTGATGTGGAAACTGGTTTCTCGAGGCAACCATCTGCCCTGGATTGTATGAGCATCGAGATGAGCTCCCCATCCCAAAAGGATACGTCCATCATTATGGTGACCGTCAGAAAAAAGGAATGCCTGCACCAATATTTTGATGATCTTTCTACCAGTCTAGGGAATCTTTTACCTACCAGGGAACTAAAACCTGTTTGTCCAAGCTGCATCTCTTTGATAACACTGGTCTACAATTTTTGAGAAGTCGTCTGCTTCAGAGATAAAATGTGCTATTTATTAAGTATTTTGATGTGCTGAATTCAAATATGACAATTAAAACAACTGATTGGCTATTGTTTCTAAGATATTTAAGTTTTTACATTTTATGTCTATGTATATTGTGTAGATAGTAGAGTTTTAATCATAAATTGTAAACCTAGGTCTTTTCATGTGTTTATGGTTGCTTTACATGATAATATTTCACCTGTCCTGTTTATGTAACACTTTAAAAATCAGCAAAAGGGTTATATAAATAAAATTTATTATGAAACAAAAGGCAAAAAACTATTCTGTACATAGTTTAGTCCTATTCAGTGTCTACTCGGCGCTTCTTGGCTTGTCTCTTGTATTCATTAAATGGAGCATCTCTTGTCACTGTCCAGCAATAGTCTGCAAGCATTGATGGCCTCCGTTTGCCCTGATAGCGTTTCTCCATTGTTGCAATGTCCTGGTGAAATCGCTCGCCGTGCTCGTCGCTCACTGCTCCGCAGTTCGGTGGAAAAAAATCTAGATGAGAGTGCAAAAAATGTATCTTTAGTGACATGTTGCAACCAAGGCTTTTGTATGCCTTGAGGAGGTTTTCCACCAACAACCTGTAGTCTGCCTTGTTGTTTCCGAGAAAATTTTAATGCCACTAACTGGAAGGCTTTCCATGCCGTCTTTTCCTTGCCACGCAGTGCATGGTCAAATGCATCATCTCGAAGAAGTTCACGAATCTGAGGACCAACAAAGACACCTTCCTTTATCTTAGCTTCACTTAACCTTGGAAATTTTCCACGGAGGTACTTGAAAGCTGCTTGTGTTTTGTCAATGGCCTTGACAAAGTTCTTCATCAGACCCAGCTTGATGTGTAAGGGTGGTAACAAAATCTTCCTTGATTCAACAAGTGGTGGATGCTGAACACTTTTCCTCCCAGGCTCCAATGACTGTCGGAGTGGCCAATCTTTCTTGATGTAGTGGGAATCTCTTGCACGACTATCCCATTCGCAGAGAAAACAGCAGTACTTTGTTTATCCAGTCTGCAGACCAAGCAAGAGAGCAACAACCTTCAAATCGCCACAAAGCTGCCACTGATGTTGGTCATAGTTTATGCACCTCAAAAGTTGTTTCATGTTGTCATAGGTTTCCTTCATATGGACTGCATGACCAACTGGAATTGATGGCAAAACATTGCCATTATGCAGTAAAACAGCTTTAAGACTCATCTTCGATGAATCAATGAACAGTCTCCACTCATCTGGATCGTGAACGATGTTGAGGGCTGCCATCACACCATCGATGTTGTTGCAGGCTACAAGATCACCTTCCATGAAGAAGAATGGGACAAGATCCTTTTGACAGTCACGGAACATGGAAACCCTAACATCACCTGCCAGGAGATTCCACTGCTGTAGTCTGGAGCCCAACAGCTCTGCCTTACTCTTGGGTAGTTCCAAATCCCTGACAAGGTCATTCAGTTCACCTTGTGTTATGAGGTGTGGTTCAGAGGAGGAGGATGGGAGAAAATGTGGGTCCTGTGACATTGATGGTTCAGGACCAGAAGTTTCATCCTCTTCCTCTTCCTCATCTGACTCAAGTGAGAATGATTCTGGTGCATCAGGAACCGGCAGTCCTTCTCCGTGGGGTACTGGGCGTATAGCTGATGGAATGTTTGGATAATGCACAGTCCACTTTTTCTTCTTTGACACACCTTTCCCAACTGGAGGCACCATGCAGAAGTAACAATTGCTGGTATGATCTCTTGGCTCTCTCCAAATCATTGGCACTACAAAAGGCATAGATTTCCTTTTCCTGTTCAACCACTGGCAAAGATTTGTTGCACAAGTGTTGCAGCATATGTGTGGGGCCCACCTCTTGTCCTGATCTCCAATTTTGCAGCCAAAATAAAGGTGATAGGCTTTCTTAACCATAGTGGTTATACTGCGCTTTTGTGATGCAAAAGTCACTTCACCACAAACATAGCAGAAGTTATCTGCACTGTTCACACAAGTACGAGGCATCTCTGCTCACTTTGGCTAAACAGAAATGTGTCCCTTTGCAAAATCAAACACTGACAAATAAGAGAGCACAACACTGTATGATTTCTAGAGCTGATATAGGGCAATTTGTTCAGCAGAGTGATGTAAGCTTCGTTATGATTGCATCATCCATGACTTCTAGGAATAACATGATGCAATTCATATCATGTATGACGCATACCAGCTTCAGATTGCATCATTCATTGTTTTGCCTAAAAAGCAAGTACTGTCCAAACCCAGTCATAGATTTATTCATAGATCCAGTCAAAGATGTATTTTAGTCATTTCTGGTTTAAATTGAGATCCCTTCCCTTTATAACTCACTTATCCTCCGCCATTCCCAAGTCAAGGGTCGTATATACTGACCCAATAGCATATCTTGAAAACTAGAGCCAATCAACAATTTTAAGCATCATTTTCGTTCTCAGTGACCCAGAATTAGTAAAGTTTGACTACATTTATTTCAGAAGCATTTTGGCTGTAGAGCAGTGAACTAGACTGCTCTGAGCCACCCCTTGAAGAATGAAGGCACAACCTTGAATAATCTTTTACAAAAGTACAAACTGCCATGTGACCTAGGAGTTGGAGGCAGTTTCTCACTGAGGTTTGAAGGTGCTCAAACAGTCTTGGCTAGATCTAACAACATTATGAATCTATCCATATGAAGGTAGACCATGGTCTTCAATGAATCGAAGGATGCCCCTATGAACTGTATTTTCTGTACTGAGGTCAACGTGGATTTTTTTACATTGAGTTGAAGACCTAATTCCAGGAACAGCAAAAGGGCACTCTGCATGGCTGATTGCACTGCTTTGTAAGACCAATCCTTGAACGACCAATCATCGAGGTACAGGAATACTAAAATTGCCTCTCAACAAAGCTAAGTGACACTGCAAATACTTCTGAAAAACACTCTTGGAGCTGAGAAGAGTCTGAGGGGGAGCATCTAGTATTGAAAATTATCCTGGCCTAAATCAAAAACACAGGTATCTTCTGTGAGATGGATGTATCACTTTATGGAAATAAGTGTCCTGTAGATCGATGGCTGAAAACCAACCCCCTGAATTTAGTGAAGGAATTATAGCTGTCACAGTTACCATCCTGAACTTCTGAGACTTTACAAATTTGTTTAGTAGTCTTAAATCTCAAATCAGTCTTAACTCTCCAATTTTCTTTAGTATAGGAAAAATACCTTGAGGAGAAACCCTTTCCCTTATGTTGAGCATGAACAGGCTCTATCACTTCTAAATGAAGAAGTGAGCTTATCTCCTGTCTCAACAAGAACTTGTGAGAGGGGTCCCTGAAAAGGGATGGGTGGGGGGGGTGGAAAGGAGGGAGGGAGGAAAAGTGAATGGTGTAGCCCAATGTTACAATCTTCAAGACCCATTTTTCTACGATAATCTGTTCCCATGCATGTTGAAAATGGCTAAATCAGGGTCCAAATGGGGGAGGTGGGCAAATTGTTGCAGATGTGAACTAAAGTTTGTGATGATTCGAACCCTTGACCAACCCATCAAATTGGTGTTTTGATTCTGGTTGAGTACTTGGGCCACATAGATGAACAATTCTTTTCCTCTGTAATCTATATTTCTTCCTCGTGGATCCAACGTGTCTCTGGAACCACAAAATTGGATTGGCCATTATCTCTGGGTGCTTTGTGACCTACTAAGTTTTCTTTTGTTCATAGGGGTGTAAATTCACAGAGATCGTAATTTGGCTCTGGAGTCTTTCAAAGTGTTCAGGGACTTCTCTGTGTTTTCTGAAAACAACTTCAGAGGCGAGGTCCTCTACAATGCTCTGGACTTCTCAGGGAAAGCTGGACAGTTGGAGCCAGGATGCCCTGCGCATAACTACCACCACAGAAATGGAATGTGCCATGGTGTCTACCACATCTCAGGACACTTGAAGAGATGTCCTGACCAGTAATTGTCCCTTAGCGGTGATGGTCTGAAATCGTTCTCTTTGGTCTGGTGGAAGGTGCTCGATAAAAGCAGTAAATTTCCTGTAGTTTGTGTAATAATATTTTGCCATGAATACCCAGTAATTCTCAATCTGAAATTGCAGGGTCGCAGATGAGTAGGAATTCCAGGTGGTTCTAGTTTGTCATACAGGATCGATTTGGTATGGTGGTGTTTTCCCTGCTCATTCACCACATCCACCACAAGAGAATTAGGTGCAGGGTGGGAGAGTAAAAATTTGGAGTCCTTGGTGGGGATATAGTATTTTTTATCTGCTCATTTGCAAGATGGTACTGTTGCTGGAGTCTGCCAAACCATCTTCACCGGATCCAAAAGTGCCTCATTGATAGGTAGTGCAAATCTGGTTGGTGTTGCTGACTGCAGAATGTCCATCAACTTGTGTTGTGATTCTTTGACCTCTTCAAGTGGTATTGGGAGAGCATCCGCCACCCGTTTTATGAGTTCCTGAAATTGCTGGCTATCATCAGCCACAGATGGTGATGGAGGCATAACCGCCTCATCCGGAGACAAGGAAATGGTGATTTGAGGGGTACCCTTCTCGTCTGACCTAGTTTCCTGTTCTTTGAATGTCTCCTCCTGTTGAGGAATGGGCTGGGGTGGAGGTAACTGTATATCTCTCTTATCCCAGTGAGCAAAACTCAATACCTTGGAAAACTGTCATCAGTATGCCACCCAGGGGTCCCATTATGGTCATTGAGGGGGTCCATATAGGAGAGGGGGTAGCATCCAAGGCTGTTCCCACCACCCATGATGACTTTCCCAAAATTCCTCTCTCTCTGTGAGTGTCGAAGAGTGCGTTCCTATGCAGACAGATAAGAGAGCCCTGCACTCAGAGAAAAGAGACTGAAAAGGAGGTCTGCATCATCATCCTCGACATCATCCAGTGGAGGATCCCAACAGTAAAAGGTGGTGAATCAGGCAGTGTTGGAGATAGATAGGAGTCCGCTGACCGTATGGGTCTTGGTTACAAGAGGCACTCAGTATCCATGAGCACTGGAGACTCCTGTTCATCTGACAGTGATAAATCACCCTTCAAGTACCAAAATGTTTGTGGTACCAAATGGAGAGACAGTACCGATATGTTGGTGTTTGTGTCTGTAGAAATAGATGGTACCGAACATTTAGAGTGCTTCGAGGTGGGTGCCAATGGAGTTAGACACTTAGGCTTGCTCAGTACAGAGGAACCCATTGGGGAAGGTGCTGACTGTAAAGCTGTGCGTCCAACAATACTGGCCTAGAGGAATGGTTCTCCTTGCCCTCTTGTCTGAACAGTACTGATAGTTGGTCAGAGCAGTGTTTGCTCTTGGAAGAGCTTCAGGGCTATCCAGCCCCGCCGCTACCAAAAGAGTCCATTGCCTCTACAGTACTAAGCCAAAAAGTTTAAGCTTCTGAAACAGTTGAACAACTGGGAGACAGAAGTCATTTAGGAGCAGGCTCCTTAAGAAGGAAATTGGAGCTCCTCTTCCTGGGACCATTCAAGGAAGTCTCTGGAGTCTTCCCCTTTCTGGGGATAGCTGAACCAAGATCAAAGGGGCGCTGGATCCGCCCAGAGACTGGTGTACCGGCGGAAGGGGGTGTTTCCTGATCTGGCTCTGAAGCAGGGCAAAGGGAAAACTCTATCATTAGTAGCTTCAACTTTATCTCCCGGTTCTTGCTTGCTCTGAATTTAAGGATCAGCCAGAAGTTACACTTCTGAGGGATGTGCAAATCTCCAATGCAGCGAACACATTTGGAGTGGTTGCTGCCAATCAGAATGGCCTCCCAGCAAGTGAGGCAACATCTGAACCCTGGTGAGTTGGCCATGCCTTTCCCAAGGAAGACAAGCGTTCCCAGAGGGAGGGGACAGGAACAAAACTAATTCTCTCAACTACTAAACTAACTATCAAACTATCTAAAAACTAAACTCACTACTAGGAGGAAAAACAAACTTTTAGTTGAAGCCCATTCAGGGCAGACATGCTAAAGCGCCATCTCAGGCTGCGACAGTTAAGAAGAAACTGAGGGCAGTTCATCCATGAAGCCCTACATAGCATTGGTTTGGGGCATGAGGGTGTGTAGGGCACATGCATGGGTCGAACAGACACTGCTAATGAAAATCTCCAGTTGAAGGTGTGTGGGATGCATGCACACCTGAAGTGGAGCACCTACAGGGATACTATTCCATAAACCACCTTTAATTTCTGGGAGAGTTGGGCGGCCCCTGAAACACAACCTAGCATTCCTACCAACAGTTTTATCAACCACAAACCCAGGTGTGTGTTTCCCCGAACAAGGCCCAAAAAGTTTTTTTTCCTCAGTATGCCTTGGTTTATTTAACTCTCGAGTCCTCCCCCGTCCCTCCCCCCATTGCATAATATTTCTGCCTTAGAACCAGAAAGCATGCCCTTGAAAAGCCAGCATTTAAAAAGAAGGGTTGCTAAAGAACACAGAGGAGTGTCCTCTTCCATTCAGTGGCTAAGCATGCTGTGTTGGTAGCATTTTTCTACCTCTTTTCGGGCCCAAAAAGTAAGACACCAAAAACCGAAACAACCCCTCAACAAGTAATGTAAAATATTAGTCGTAGGGTACTCTGCTAGCTAAACACTTCTACACATTACAATTATGCAGATTTTCACACCCACAACTCCGCATTTGTACAGCCTAATCACAACTTACTAACACTGCCTTCACTTTGGAGCACTCAACCCTACAAACGTTTTTTCATTTCTCTTTAACTCCCTTGAGTAGGCTGTAAAATGCAGTCACTCATTTTGGGGAGTCAAGGAAACAGACAGCTTCACAAACCAAACTAGAGATTTCAACACATTTAAGAGAAGGAATTGCTCAGCCTGCACAACAGCAGTCCACTGGGTAGCATCTCTTCTGGTCCCCTTCACATCTAATACATTCACCACCATTCCCACAACTTATTACACCCTGACCCACCACTGAACACTCATCACAACACACCTCCACACACCATCTTGTTCTACAATCCAACACACTAACTCACCCCCTATCCAAATACATCTGACAAGCCAGAACACTTACCCACACACCCTCAACATAGTATAACTATCCAATACACCATATCCACCCACCTACAATTCCATCCATGCAACTCAAGACACACATCGTCCCCATAACTCAAAGCACCCACTCATCTTAACTCAAACACCCCCATCCATTATAATACATACACAAACATCAAAACCTGACACATCTACCCAAGCCTAATACAACAGACCACACAAAACTGCACGTTAACATGCAGTAAAGAGTCATGTTGAAGTTTCTATTGCACTCACCTACAAGGGTAAACATGTCCGAAATCATGCTAGCTTTGATCTTCAGGTCCAAAGGAGCATCACTGTCCCCATATGCAACAAGAGACAGGAGGAGTCAGTTATTCGGCAGTTCAAGGAAAGCATCAATGCCCAACACAGATTCCCTTTCATCATATTCCCGGTGGATCAGTTCTCAGAGAGCACAAACAGAATGGAAGATATGGGGAAAGTCTAGTTGATTATCTTTTTATCACAAAAATAGTGGATGAATTATGTCTGCCTCTAAACACTGTATCTGTTCAATTATAATCCGCTCCCACATTCCCTTTGGGCATCATTTGGGGAGGGCTGTTAGCTCTTCTTGGGAAGAGACTGGGTTTCCATGTATCTCTACAACACATAGCAGAATGGGTGTTATTGCAATACAAATGTTAAACAGTAACCACCCATCCATATAAAATGACAGATCAATGGATGCTAGGAAGCAGGGAACAAATGATCACAGAAAGTAGATGGACCCTGAAGGGGTCAGACAGATGCAGGGGTCAGATAGAAGGGGAAATACAAAGCATGTATGTACACAGAGCTAAACTGAAATTAATCTGGACTGAAAGACAGGCTAAGCCCCTGAGGCCCTGGCAGCCAAGAGTTCTTTATTGTAGGACCATAAGGACACTATGCTCTGCAGTTCTGTGGAAAATGAATGGGGTACAGAGGCTGGCATCAGTGGCAAAGTAAAAGGAAAGAGGAGGGAATGCAATAATAGTAGGTCAGGTATGCAGGCATGTATGTATGGAACATTGGATCAGAAAAATAATTTCAGTGGCCACAATCTGAATGGATTTAAGACATGGGCTAAATGGCTATTGGGGAGGCTAGAAAGGAGGATGTTCCAGTAACAGACAAGAAACTGTATGGACAACAGTTCATAGCTGTGTGGACAGGGAGGAAGGGACAGATCTCTGATGCATTGTGGACTTGTGTGAGAGGAGAAGAAAAATGAGTAGTCAAATAGGACCCTAGGTTATGAGATATTAGCAATAGTAACAAAGAAATAGAAAGCAAATAGAACCCCAATTGACTCCTTCAGAATGCCTGATGCACCCAGGTCACTATGAAAAGGAACAGCAAAGAAGATCCACTCTGTAAGCCCATTAATAATGGAACAATATACCAAGGATTTCATTCAGGCATGCCTGCCCAGGGCATGCACTTGGTGGTGCTGCACCTGGTGTGGCCAGAGATTCCACCATCTTTATTGAGGTCCCAGCCCTTCCATTTCTTGAAGCTGGGAATCACTTACCAGGCCAGGGATGGAGATAAGTTCACCTCCAGTAGCCAGGGCTTGAGAGTAGCATCAATAAGGACATCAAAACCATACAGCTCTGAAAACACAAATGTGTCACTTTCATACACAATAATGCCCCAGAGAGCCCAGGAAATGCCCAATTTGAGCCTCTGTTGGGGCACTCCCACTAGCTGACTCATCTGAGGCTTACTGATCCCTCTAGCTCAGATACCCTCTCAGATGGGAGTCTGGCTTCCCTAGAATGGGGGCTGAAGACACTACCAGCTTTGGGGGAGTCCAGAAAACTAGCCCCAGGAAAACCTGGAGAAAGAAGGATGAGAAAGGGAGGGGCACAGGCAGGAACAGCAAACAAAGGTAGAAGAGAGAAGAAGAGAGAGGAAGAATTAGAAACACTTGCCTCCCCAAGATCTAGCTGTCCAGACCCTAGCATGTGCAGAATTATGCTACCTACATTTTCACACACAGAGGCATAAAGCAATGCAACCAAATCATCCCATCTTCCAACACTTCCACTAACTCTACTTTGTTTCCAGGATCCTGTTTAAAACCAAAATTCACCCTCTTTGCTTTTAAAACCCTTCATGTCTTCCCTAGTCTGCCACATGGACCTCCATTCTTTTTACCATCACAATCTTTCCATCTACTCATCTAGCACTAGCTTTCCCTCTGTATTCCCACATAATCCCCAGGTGGGTGCAAGATCCTTCTTCTCTGCAGCTCCTGCCACTTTGACAGCCTCCCAGTAACTTCACTTTACTGATGCTCCTCCACTTTGCAAATCACTGTTAAAAAAAAGCCTCTCGCCCTATCCTCTAAAATGCTCTCTCACTCAGAATGTATCACATGTGCTAGATGCACTCCTCTTTAATTAGTCAGACTGAAGCCAGCTTCCCATTCCAGGACTGATTTTATTTCCTTCTATACAGCACATCCTCTCATTTTGGGACACAACTTACAAGAAAGATGGTACACAAATATGACTGTAAATAAGTTGGCACCAAAGCAATTTCCTGACACAGTACTAAGTGTTGGAGACAGTTAACATCAGCGCAACTTATGCACATTCTTTTTAAATATTGCAGAACCTGGGATTGGCACAGGAGAAGGATTTCCATTGAATTGATCAGTTCCCTAATGCCTGGAACGAGAGCAATAGAATTACTGTGCCATGCTGCTCTCCTCGAATTCTGGCCCCAGCATTTTGTCACTTGCTTGACATTCATGCGGGCTCTGGTGAGCTAGACTGTTTGACAAGATCCTCCTTTGCAGGCAGCTGTTCAAGAGCTCATGTAGCTTGTGATAGTAAGTTAATGAGCTACTGGGGGAACTTGGAGGAGAAGGAAACGGCATCACAATTTGTGAATGTTGCCTGCATGTTTTTCTGGGCCCTGTAGCCAGACACTGAATGGGAAGCAAAACATCACAGAACTAATCAGTTGGTCCAGCCCAAGGAAGTGAGACTGATCTGCATTGGGGTTTCTTGTTTCCCAGGCTGGGAAGGCTCTGGCAAGGGAGAGGGAAGGAGTAGGAGGTTGTGAGTGTGAACATTTAAAGGTTTTGAACAAGAAAAAAAATCTCATGGATAGGCAAGCACATTCTTCCAAAAGACAGTCTAGGCTACAGTGAGGACCCTGTAGTTCCTAGTGTACAACAAAACCTGAGGGACAGCCAAACAGCTAGATGGAAAAGGTGAGTGGGTCAATAGCAACTGCTGGTCTGCAACCTCCCACCCCCTAAGCCAGGGGCGGCCAAACTTTTTGGCCCGAGGGCCACATCTGGGTATGGAAATTGTATGGCAGGCCATGAATGCTGACGAAATTGGGGATTGGGGTGCGGGAGGGGGTGAGGGCTCCGGCTGGGGGTACAGGCTCTGGGATAGGGCCAGAAATGAGGAGTTCAGGGTGCAGGAGGGGGCTCCGGGCTGGGGCAGGGGGTTAGGGTGCCCGTGTGAGGGCTCTGGCCGGGATGCGGGCTCTGGGGTGTAGGAGTAGGACTGAGGGGTTCGGAGGGCGGGTGGGGGATCAGGGCTGGGGCAGGGGGTTGGGGCACTGCAGGGGGTCTGGAGTCAGGCTCTGGGTGGCGCTTATCTCAAGCAGCTCCTGGAAGCAGCAGCATGTCCTCCCTCTGGCTCCTATGCGGAGGCATGGCCAGGCAGCTCTGCATGCTGCCCCGTCCGCAGGTGCTGCCCCTGCAGCTCCCATTGGCCACAGCTGACGGCCAATGGGAACTGCAGGGGTGATGCTTGGGGCGGGGGCAGTGTGCGGAGCCCCCTGGCTGCCCCTACCTTAGCTACCAACTTCACCTTCCATGCTCCTCTCTCCATCATTCTCTCCCACTTTTTTCCCCCTTTTCCCATCGTTTCCCCCCACCCCCTCAATATCCCATCCCTCCTTTCCTCCACTCCTATATATGTGAAACTAAGAAGATACTTGCTAGTCAGCACCCCGATCATTCTGCTTGTACAGCATTCCTTCCCCCACCCTTTGTCTTATCTATTGACATATTAAGTTCTCTGGGGCAGGAACCATGTCTTAAGTGTTTTTGTACATTGCTGTTGCTGATTTATACGATGCTCTTACACTTATAGAGAGGATGGGGCACGTGTGCTAAACGGGACCAAGATTGATCCCTTTTACTTTTACAGGGCATGCACTGGACCAAGGAGACAGTACCACAAATGCTTCTACACAGTTCTGCAAGAGAAGAGTGAGCTAGAATGGGGGGCATTGTGAGCAGGTGTTTGTTGTTTTCCAAATGATCTATACACTCTTGTGCTTTCTATGTAAAGAGCAATGGTGTTTTAAAATCCAGTGTCACATCTGTGTGTTATATGCTACATCTATCAAGTGCCCCGGAAGACGTAAATTGTAAATCTAGACCATTCTCAGAGCTGGAATTTAAGATCTGGGGATATCTGGGGGGTTAGTATTGGTCCCAGGGACTGGACAGCTGGACCAAGAAGTCTCAGCTGTCAGGGGAAGTTCTAGGCAGATGACCCACACCCTATGAGTGTGCCTAGAGATCCCCGTTACAGGCAGGGTCTGGACTCCATTGAGACTCTTGATGCTTAAAGCAGCTGTTGTTAACCAGGGATCTATTGCCCCCCATGATGCCACAAGCTCATTGCAGGGGGCCACGGGGCCCTGCAGCTGAAGTGTGGGGCCCCCAAGGCCCAGTACACTTTGGGGCTGAAACCGGAGTAGAGCCGTGGGGAGCTCTGAGCCCAGATGTCCCCTGGGGGGAGGAGGGGTGAAGCCAGGAGCAGAGGCACAGGATTGAAGCCCCCAGCCCCAGCACCCCCTGAAGCCGGGAGCAGAGCCATGGGTCTAAAGCCCTGATGCCCTTGCAGGGCAGAACCGCCCCCTGCACAGCTAAAGCCCCAGCTCTCCTCTGTCTGGTGGCTGAAGTCCAGAAGCCCTGAGCCCTGCATGGCTAAAGCTTCAAGCCGCCCTCACCCCCCGTGGCTGAAGCCAGGAACCCAGAGGCCCCTCTGCTGGCCCCTGGCGTTTTTATAGTATGTTGGGGGGAGGAGCCTCAGAAAGAAAAAGGTTGAGAACCCCTGGCTTAAGGCATATGGGGACTTGGTGTTTGGATCCCCTCACAGCAGTTTGGTGAGAAGTCCAACAGGTGGAGCTCAGTTAGAACTGAGATACTCAGCACAATGGGCATCCTGACACTGACTGGGAACTACTACACACAAATCATAGGTAAAAAAATCCAGCATCCCACATCCCCTGGAAGTGTTTCATTAGCCTATGTCCCACTTTGGAGAATGAACCAGGACGATTTCACACTGAAAAATGCCTCACTCTCACCCCATCTTTTCTTCTTCTGCAGGCAAAGGTACTGAACTCACATGTAAGCAGCATGAAGAGGGGAAGCCCCTGTGAGAACACCAGAGAGCAACGGTGTCTCCTCTGCAGCTGTAGCCAGGCTGCCTGGCTCACTCCCCGTTGTAGAGGGATCAGAGAGAGCAGACTGATTGAAAGATGATTGTATACTAGGATTTCCCCTTAGTTGTGGCAAGGGCAACATCAGGTCTGTGACAGCCCATCTTGCATCCCAAAGTTGAGGAAATATGGGGAGCTGGCAGATGGGCAATCAGGTTTCCACAGCTCCTCAGATCCTTAGCCTACTCCCCTTCTTCAGCTACTGTGAACCACAAAAAGCTATTTTGCCCTCATACAATTTCAAAGGCTCAAGCAAGATATCAGAAGGCAGCATCTGATGCCGAGACTTAGGAACATGAGCTCCCACTCAGCAAAAGGATCACTGCAATGAGGGCTCCCAAACCCACCCCACCAGAAGGCTCAGGGATATCCCCCTTCCTTACAGGGGAAGAGGAAGCTTTCCTGCATAACTAATAGCAAAGCAATGCTTCTCATTTTTTACCAGCCAAACTCTTTTCCATCCTCATGCAGTCCCCTGGAAGGTGTGAGGTAGCCCTAGAGTCCGGCCATAGCTCAGCTCCCCAGAGTGCACAGAGGTATAACTCAGCTCTGCAATCCCCATAAGGAAGATGGGGCTTAGTGTTCAACATGGCTAAGCTACTTTGAAGAGGACATCTAAATTTCTTTTCATCCCAAAGGAAGTTCAGAGCTGGCTAATTGCTGCCTCCACCACTCTTTAATTCTCAGCATCCTGCAGCATGAGAAAGAGGGTACATCTGGCTATCCAGGTTCTGCAACAGCACTAATCTCCCTGACAGCCAGGTGACCCTCAGAATTAAAAACAAACAATATCACACTCCTCATATATAGGAGTGAGTTAGTTGATTAGATAGCAAGGGGTGTAACTACGAGGGAAAGCCACACCAAAGCAAAGTTTTAGATTTAGTTCTGAGTTGTGTGAGGTCCAAAGTCATTCTTCTCTCTTGAAGGAATTTCAGACTAGGTCCAGTTCCTATGAAAGTGTACTCACAAGACTCTCATTATTACTTAAGTTTAATTGATTCAGTAGAACACAGTCGTTGTGGAAGGTTACGGTTGCAGGAGAGGTGATCTTTCAGGCAGCTAGGACCAATCTTATAGAGGGCTTTAAATATCAGGACAGGGATTCAACCAGTCTATGTATTCA